CTAAAAAAAATTCCCCAGCAGAGTCGCCAAGCTGTCATAACCATTTTTAGGTGAAACAATTAAATATTATTTTAAAAACGATTATGACTTTAATAAAAAAAATTGGTGATCTTGGATTGATTCGAATTAAATTGAAAATGGAGTCGCCATCGACCTTTGGGTTAGGTAGGTCAAATACCTAAAAACGTCTTTTAACAATTTTAAGAAAAATCATTTTTTAAGACAAAATTTAGTCTGCATCACCAAAGATTCGATTAAATGGATTCGGGAGTCGGTTACGTGTGGGGAAGGAATAACACCCCACAACGCCCAAAAACTGGTACTGTGTCGCTTACACCTTGTTGTAAATGGTGGAATTTATGAGTCGAATATAAAGTTAAAATGTGATCCGTTTATTTGAACATGGATTAATTCACTTTGAACTAATTAATTATAGAAAATTCTTTAACCCGAAAAGAAATCTCGAAATTAGTAATCCTCCATCGAGAAAGCTAACTCGACTATTTCTTATCAGTAAAAGAATATTCCATCAACATTTATTAAGAAAAATTGAATCGAATATAAATTAACTATCGACCTCTACATAAATTAAATTGCCATATAAAAACACATTGAATCATAAGAGATTTAATCAGTAAAATAAATTAAATTTATTTCAAGTCTTATTTCGTTTGAACGTTGTATCGGATTGTACCACTTCGGTCAAGTGATACTCTCCACACCCATTCTACAAATACATTCTTGAAATATTCGGATAACATTAATACTTAAGGAAATGGAAATAAATATGATTAAAAAATGCACAATAAAATATTTACAACAAATAGAGTTAGGCATATTTATTTACATTTGATACAAATGACTACATAACACGAAATATGTACATACATATTGAAATAAATACAAATGAATATTACAACCCAAAATAAAATAGTCATAAAGTAAGTATTTAATAATTACAATGATTAACATGGTAATAACAACTTAAAGGGCAAAAACAGTAAAATAGAAAATTAAAATACTAAAATGACAAAAACATAAATGTAGGAACTAAAATAGTAATTAAACCGAATGCAAACTAGTGACTAAAATAAAAAAAGATTTACAAATCTTAGGGGTCAAAATCGAACATCAGCCAATATATAACATACAAAATCAGTGACTAAAATGAAACTAATACAAACATTGTGGCCAAAGTAAAATATGACTATAATAACATTACATTTAATAATAGGACTAAAATAAAATATATATAACTGCAGAATACAATGTACAAATTTATAAAAATATTAGCAACAGAAGATCTAGTGACCAAAATACAAACTATATGAACATGGTATACAAAATACAAAATACATAAACTGTAAGAGTGACCAAAATGTAACATGCATAAATATTAAGGCCAAATTAAAATATCAACAGAAACATAGAGGGTCGAACAGTAATTAAATCAAATAATAAACAGTGAGTAAAATGGAATAATCATAAATTCATAGGCCAAATTTGAATATCAGCCAAAATCACACAACACATGTAATAAGTGACTAAAATAAAATTATTATAAATATCATAGCCTAAATTAAAAACTAATGAAATTGAAATAAATAACCAAATATGGACTGAAATGAAACAAATCTAAACTCTAAGGCGTAAAATCAAATAATTACACAAACCATGCAAATGAGGACTAAAACAATTTCACAGAAATACGGAGGATCAAAAAGTAATTAAACAAAATGTCAGACAGTGACCAAAATAGAACATTTGCAAATATGATGGCTAAACTCAAACACCCACAAAATATCATAACACAAGAAATTAGGACTAAAACGAAACTATTACAAACATTGTGGCCAGAGTTCAACATTAACAAATAATAATATAACACATAGTAACAGGACTAAAATAGAAATACAGAAACATAAGTGCTCAAACTATAATAAAGCAAACTTTCAGTATATGATTGAAATAAATAAATTACAACTGCGAGGGACCTAAGGTGCTATTTACCCTTTACACTTGAAAACACGGAAGCCCTGACCCCTCTAAACGGCGTCGTTCGGCGTGTGGGTTATATACCCACTTAAGGGTTGAGAAACCCTATTCCTTCATTTGTTTCTTGAGCCCCAAAAAAAGAAAAGAAGAAAGGAGAGAGTTCTGAACTCTCTCCCCGAACCCACCGAACAGCCGCCGCTCCACGGCGTTTCCAGCGGCGGTCGGCTCTCAAAACAAACACCCATAAACCCTAATTTCCTCTCTTCCTTCTTTCTCTTTTGAAAACCTAAAGCTCTTCCCCTTCCCACAACCAACTTGAACCCGAACCCCCCCCCCCCCAAAGGTGGGAATTTACCTTCGAAGATGGCCCAGTTCCTCCGATGAAGCAACAGTGACCCGTTCTTGGTAAGTTTTGGCTCTCCCTCTTTTCTATTTCTTTTTTCTTTTTTTTCCCCCGAATGTCCCCCATCCTTCCTCTGATATCTTTGCTTGATTTATGGTTGATTTTGCTTCGTTTGGTGAGATGATGATGATGCTAGCGTAGGGGTAAGGGTCTCTGATCTTGGTAGGGACAAATTTCCCGATTTATCTAGATTTAGGTATTTTTTAATTTAGGGTTTTGATTTGTTTACTATTTCCTTTGATTGGTTTGATTTGGAACTGATGGGGTTACTGTTGGTGCAGGTGGGAGCAGTCGGAGTGGAGCGAGACGGGCCGGAACAGTGATGGTGGCGCGGCTGTTCATCTGCTGCTGGCGGCGGCGGCTGGATGATGATATGTTTAGGGTTTAAAACCCTAATTACTTGGGTACTTGTGGGCCTGAACCGGGTCTGGGCTCCAGCTTGTTGGGCTTGATGTACTGATGGGCTTAATAGCCTGCAACAAAAATGTAAAATTTGTAAATTAATAATAATAATAGTAATAATAATAATAATATAACGATAATAATAATAATATATATTAAAAAAAAGACCCGGACAAAAACGGGTGTCTACACTTCCCTACTAGACCATTAAATCTTCAACGTACAACATAAAAGGACCGTTCGCTTCCTGTGCAATACTTAAATATACCTCGGGGAACTCAAGTCCCACCGGTATGACGTTCTCAATTCTCATCTCCCTTCCCTCTGTTTTCAACTTTAAAATAATATAACTTGTTATATTTTGAGTTATACCATAATCGAATAAATCATTCCATACATTCTATTTTAATTTAATCTCATTTGTTTGCAAAATTAAAAACCTAAGCCTCAAAAAAGTTGATATCAAACATCATCTGATCTATTTATGGTACATGAAATTCATACAGGTATGATTGTAGCTGGTCATGCATGCAAACAGAGTGGTGGTGTTGATCATGCAGTTGTGAAAGCATATGCGTTCACCCCATATATCAAACTAGCTGTCGAGTATGGCTGGTGTTCGGTTGTGGTTGAAGGAGATGTTGCATGTATTCATCTTCAGGAAGAGGTGACTCTTTTGACAACACAAATATAGTTGTAGCTTAAATTTGTGCGTTAAAAAGCGAATAACACGGTTCATGAGTTGACTCAATGGACATTAAATTATACCTCCCCAATTTGATTATCTGAAATATATTTCTGTAAATATATTAGATGGTGCCATTTTTAGTTAATTTATAAAATTAACATGTTTATGAGCTACATAAAAAATTGTAGGGTACGAAGAATTCATCAAAAATAAATAAGATGGTTTAATGGATAATTTTAGTGATGTATATGGGTGCACATGAGGATGGATACGTGTCCATCTTGAAATTTGAATTTTGTTTGATTAGTAATTTATTTTATTAAGATGTCTATTTTGAAATTTTATTTGTGTCCACCTCATTTAAATATTGGGTAAATTACACGTTTAGTACCTAAATTACCAAATTTGACCCGTTTTAGTACCTAAACTTTTAAATCTCTTTCAAAATTATACACAACGTTTAGTTTTTGTTTTATTTTAGTACGTCGTCGTTAAAAAATTAATGGGCAGGCTTGTCAGTCGCTGCATCTACAACCGTCGAATTCGTCGATCGATGAAGCCCAAACTTTCTAGCTTGCACATTTTCGACTCCCTAAACGTGATTTCAACATTCGTTTCACCAAAAAACTCAATCTGCCCAATTGGACAATAGACTCTTTAACTTTTTCATCTTTCAATCTTCTTCGTCAATCGTCTGATGGGCCTAAAACTGGACTATGTTGATCGACTCTTCATTCTCTCGTGGTCCACCGTTCGGATTGGTCTTCCGTCCATTGGATTTATGCCCCGTCAGCCCATCAGTTAAGTTTTTAACGACAAGGTACTAAAATAAAACAAAAACTAAATGTTATGCATGGTTTTGATTTTTTTTTAATTTAGGTACAAAAATGGATCAAAATTGATAATTTAGGTATGGAGTTTAGACTGAAGGTCTTAATTGAAATGTTCATTAAGAAAACAAGTGGGGTTAGTTTAGTTGGGAGAGCTTTAGAGGGAATATCTAAAGGTCATGTGTTCGATCCACATTCATCGCATTTAATTAAAGTTGAATTTTAAAATTGTATTGGAGTATTATTATAATTTGATAAGCTTAGTTTAAAGATCACAAGATATATGGAGTTCAGTTTGAATATCTAAATTGAAATGTTCATTAAGAAAACAAGCGGGGATAGCTCAGTTGGGAGAGCATCAGACTTAAGATTTGAAGGTCACATGTTTGATCCACATAAGCTTAGTCTGAAGAGCACAAGATCTATGGAGTTCAGACTGAAGGTCTAAATTGAAATGTTCATTAAGAAAACTAGCGGGAATAGCTTAGTTGGGAGAGCGTCAGATTGAAGATCTGAAGGTCACGTGTTCGATCCATGTTCACCGCATCTAATTTTATTAAGATTTAAGTCATTAGTTATTTTAAATATAATTACTATATTGTCGATAAGCTTACTGTGAAAAGCACAAGATCTATGGAGTTTAGACTAAAGGTCTAAATTGAAATGTTCATTAAGAAAACTAGTGGGGATAGCTCAATTGGGAGAGCATCAGATTGAAGATTTGAAGGTTACGTGTTCGAACCACGTTCACAACATCTAGTTTTAATTGAATTGGAGTATTATTATGGTTTGAATCATTAGTTATTTTAAATATTATTACTATATTGTCGATAAGCTTAGTTCAAATAGCACAAGAGCTATGCAGTTCAGACTGAAGGTCTAAATTAAAATGTTCATTAAGAAAACAAGCGGGAATAACTCAATTGGGAGAGCGTCAGATTGAAGATTTGAATGTCACGTGATCAATTCACGCCGTCGTTAAAAAATTAATGGGCGGCTTGTCAGTCGCTGCATCTACAGCCGTCGGCCGTCGAATTCGTCGGTCGATGAAGCCCAAACTTTCTAGCTTGCACATTTTTGACTCCCTAAACGTGATTTCAACCTTCGTTTCACCAAAAAAACTCAATCCGCCCAATTGGACAATAGACTCTTTAACTTTTCATCTTTCAATCTTCTTCGTCAATCGTCTGATGGGCCTGAAACTGGACTATGTTGATCGACTCGTCATTCTCTCGTGGTCCACCGTTCGAATTGGTCGTCTGTCCATTGGATTTATGCCCCGTCAGCCCATCTGTTAAGTTTTTAACGACAAGGTACTAAAATGAAACAAAAACTAAATGTTACGTATGGTTTTGATTTTTTTAATTTAGGTACAAAAATGGATCAAAATTGATAATTTAGGTATGGAGTTTAGACTGAAGGTCTTAATTGAAATGTTCATTAAGAAAACAAGCGGGGATAGTTTAGTTGGGAGAGCGCTAGAGTGAATATCTAAAGGTCATGTGTTCGATCCACATTCACTGCATTTAATTAAAATTGAATTTTAAAATTGAATTTTAAAATTGAATTGGAGTATTATTATAATTTGATAAGCTTAGTTTAAAGATCACAAAATATATGGAGTTCAGTCTGAATATAAATGGAAATGTTCATTAAGAAAACAAGTGGGGATAGCTTAGTTGGGAGAGCATCAGACTGAAGATTTGAAGGTCACATGTTTGATCCACATAAGCTTAGTCTGAAGAGCACAAGATATATGGAGTTCAGACTGAAGGTCAAAATTGAAATGTTCATTAAGAAAACTAGCGGGGATAGCTCAGTTGTGAGAACGTCAGACTGAAGATCTGAAGGTCACGTGTTCGATCCATGTTCACCGCATCTAATTTTATTATGATTTAAGTCATTAGTTATTTTAAATATAATTACTATATTGTCGATAAGCTTACTGTGAAAAGCACAAGATCTATGGAGTTTAGACTAAAGGTTTAAATTGAAATGTTCATTAAGAAAACTAGTGGGGATAACTCAATTTGGAGAGCATCAGACTGAAGATCTGAAGGTTACGTGTTCGAACCACGTTCACAACATCTAGTTTTAATTGAATTGGAGTATTATTATGGTTTGAATCATTAGTTATTTTAAATATTATTACTATATTGTCGATAAGCTTAGTTCAAAGAGCACAAGATCTATGGAGTTCAGACTGAAGGTCAAAATTAAAATGTTCATTAAGAAAACAAGCGGGAATAACTCAATTGGGAGAGCGTCAGATTGAAGAATTGAAGGTCACGTGTTCAATTCACGTTCGTCGCATCTAATTTTAATTGAATTGCATTATTATTATAATTTGATTCATTAGTTATTTTAAATGTAATAAAAAAATTACTATATTATTGATAAGCTTAGTTTGAAGAGCATAAGATCTATGGAGTTCAGACTGAAGATCTAAATTGAAATGTTCATTAAGAAAACAAGCGGGAATAACTTAATTGGGAGAGTGTCAGATTGAAGATTTGAAGGTCACGTTCATAGCACATCTAATTTACAATTAAAAGTTTTTTGTTATAAACGTGTATGTTCACCCTCAAAAATATTTTTAAATCCGTCTGACCAAAAGTAACAATGAAATATTAAACCTCTATTAAGATGAAAAAAAATTATTTAAAATAAAATTTGATATAATTTAAATATTTATGTTACAATAAAATGAAAAAAAATTAAAAATCACCGTATGTACTCTTTTACCCTTCTAGAAAATTGCACATAACTTACTTAATAACTACTTATTTATTTCATTATATATACTAATAAATTATTACTAGAAAATAATCATTAGTATTGCTTTTTTTATTTTAATTAATCTAAAATATAATAAAGTGTTTTAATAAATTTAATATTTTTTAAAAAAATATTATTTTTTATTCAAGTATTTTTTTTTTAAATTTATGTGTCCCCCTTATTATAGTAGTTTAGGTTATCATGTACCATCCCGATCCTCTTGTGATTAACCCCTGGACACCGAATCAAAGAAGAAACCACCTTGATGGCTACGTTGGCGGCGATTGCAGCTCGTAGAATAGCTACTGTATCTAGTACACCGGCTCCCTCTCAAGCCGCTTCTCTCATTCCTCGCCGTGGTCTCGCCGGCGGTGCAGGTATTTGCTGTATACCCATTACGCTTTAAATTTATATTATATTCGATTGTAAAAATTATCTCCCGATTAACTTCAATTTAATCTCATTTGAATTTGATAGTCGGAGGCAAAGGATCTTAGAAGTTAAGAACATGTTCTACGGAATATTTCTTAATTTTACTTTATTTTATTCTTTGCAGATCACCATGTACCCCCAAAAGTTAACTGTTGGCAAGAACCAATGAACCCAGCTAAATGGAAGGAAGAACATGTCAGTTTATTTCTTTTCATGTTTTATATTTCAATTTTCCTCATAATTTCTTGCCTTATTTCCAGATTTTAGATAGTTTGGACTAGTAAATTGGGAATTTTTTTTTTCATTTATATTTATAAGTACGCCCTCTCCCTATCTTTAATTTATTTCAAGTTAAAATCTCGTTGACATTGGGCTGCTGTTAGATTACAGCACACACTGATGTTTTTTTACTTCCTATTTTATCATGTATAATTTCATAGGCACCGGTTTTCAATCTATTTGATGATATTGTCGATAAATTAGAGGAGGAATAAATGTGGAAACTTATTCACTTTTTTTATTGCACAGTTTGTTATCGTCTCTGTAACTGGTTGGGGTCTGCTTTTCTATGGTGGATACAAGTTCTTAACCAGAGGCAAAGGCAAGAAGGAAGAGGTACTTTCATATACTCTTGAACTTTTACTTATCATTAGAATTGAGTAAGCAATTTTTTGCATTGTCAGTGTTATGTTACTCGGACTCAGGTGTGTGAGTCCAAGACAATTATGCCCAATTTTTCTGAGCTTTGCCATTTTCATATCTGGAAGTTCCTTTTCAAGAGAATGGCATTGACTGACGTTTGTTGTGGATTTTCTATTATTCAGTTAGGCCTATGTCCCATTTTGCTGGAGATGTTTCCATTGGTCAAGGTTAAAATTTACTGTTAAACATGGAATGAATATTATTTACCTTCAGTACATACCAGATTATGGTTGAAAATCATAAGTGGTTTATATACCATTCGAGCTCATGTTTACATTTTGAAGCTAAATGTCCCCCATCACACATCTACTGTTGATTATCACTGCTGTGTGATCATTTCATTTAGAATCTAACTAGTGATAGCTAATAGGAGTGCTTAACAGTTCCTTAGGGTTCACATTATTGTAGTGTATCTATTATGGCTTCTCCTCTCATTTTATCTTTTTCTTGTTGTAGAATGCAGTGGAAACGGCACAGAAATGAGGTTGGAGCTTTTAGTTTTTACAAGATTCCCAGTAATAATGTGTGCCTGGAACTTTGATGTCCTTAGGGTATTGTTTTCAATGTAGTTGACAAGGTATTATGTTTTCCCGTTCATAATTTCTCTTTCCCCAAGGGAGTGATGAATGAGCAAAATTGGAGGATGATATCAGCTAACCCACTGCCTTGTTTGTTGTTTAGTTCTGTTGATAATGGGAAGCAACAGTTTTGAGGATTCAGAATCTGTTGATTGATTTGGAAAGTAGTGAACTATGCTTTTTGAATTGAACTTTCTATTGAATTTCACCTTTTATATGATAGAAAATGAGATTTTTTTTTTGAATAATCTGAGATTTGAATTATGTTATGGCAGTCATTGACCATGTACTGATACTTCCATGAATTCCAAACATAATTTTACTGCCAAAGGTTATTATAATTACAATGTAAGTGCAATCCAGCTGTTTTCAAACATAAAGTCGCTGAAAACCTTACACTTTTCGCTTCAAGCTGGCCTTTGAAGCTATTGATCTTTTATTGTTCGTCATCTGCATCATCGATTTATATCGATTGTATTATTCGCATGATTTTTCCCCCCTCCATTCCATAATTACCCGCATCTTCAGAATCCTGATTTTTGGCACTTGCTCCCATATTTTCACGTTTCTGCAGCTGTCCGCTCTGTTCCATCTTCAAACACTTCTCTTTTGTCTTCCTCTTGAGAAGAGAATTTAGTATCAGTCCCTTTTGCTTCAAAATTGCTAAACCAAAATTGAATAGAAGGGGGGTTAGTTTAGGTCCAACGGAGATTTTCTCAGCAACAAAATCCAGGCAATTCATGAAGCATGAATTCATAACCCCTATACAGTCAATACAGAGTCGCCGCAAATCATGTTTCTTTAAGCTTCAAGATATTGATGAAGGCAGGGTTACAAGAGAGAGAGGCAAGAGCTTGAGTCTCAGTCCTAATTCACGTAAAACTGTTTCCAAGGTCATTGCTCCTAAGCCTGCAGCAACAACGGTGGGGGATAAAAGGGCGGTGAAGAAAGAAGAGGGCGTTATTTCTACAATTCAGCCTAAAAGGCTCTTCAAAGATGGAGAAAAACCAGTATCGGCAAGGAAACCATTGAAACATGGGAGAGTCGTCGGTAGCAGGTACAATCAGATTCCCAATCAGAGCAATGTGAGTTTCACGGTAAGCGATGCTCAAAAGCAGGAGAGCAACAAGCACGATAAGAGGTGTGTTTCAAATGAACGGATAGTTGATTCGTGCAAGAATGAAAAGAGTGAGAACATAATGAAAAAGAAGTGGGAAATTCCGAGTGAAGTGATCATTCTAAAGGAAGAATCACCGCAGTCAATAGGTAAGATCAATGATCTTCTTCCAAAGATTAGGACTGTGAGGGTTTGGCATGAAAGTCCTCGGGCTTCAGAGCCAGCCAAAAGAGTGGCAGAATTGATGGGAAGGAAACCATACTATAGTATGGAGGAAGAAACAGAGAACTCTGTTCGTCAGGCTCTGAGTCTTGCAGAAGGGGATGGTGAGAAAGAGTGATTCATTTCTTCTTCTTCTTCTTCTTCTTCTTCTTCTTCTTCTTCTTCTTCTTCTTCTTCTTTCCTTTTGTTTTTTCCAGCTGTAGAGATTGGGGTTTCTGGATGCAAAGCATAACTATTGTCATGGGCTATTAATTCATATGTATATGTTACCGGTTGATTAAACTTTTCTCTCTGCAAATGCAAAAATAAGACGAGCTTTTCTCTTGCTTTTGGGTGAAAGCTACTGCAAGTACATAATGGACAGAACCGGAAGCAAAATGATGCACTTTGCTAGGTAAGTAGCTGACCGCAAAGCGGATTTATTATAAACACAAGACATTATTTAGGCTATATTTTTTATGGATATACTGAAACCATATACCTTCACAGTTGAATAATCATGGTTCCCATCTGTGGCAAATATATCTGTGTAGTGAAGGTTTATTGGCACAAGAACGAAGTCCCACTATTAGTCATTTGAAAATAGACAAAAAGAGTACTATCCTTAGTTCCTTACAAACAATGTGTGAAATAGATAACCTGCTTTCATACTATCATCCATGTCAAATTCCGGAACCAGTCAATTTAGAAAAAAGATGGATTCCAATGGCCAAAATTGTTCCTAATGATGGCACTGGGAGCTAACTCTGTGGCTAGCTACGCCTTACATTTCCTCCTCCACCTCTAAAAGCTTCTTTGACTGGTGAAAGATAGGTAGATATAGACGATAAGTAATCACTAGGATCCAATGCAAGCGCTTCCCAATGAGGCAATGGTAGCCGTTACAGATGCAGCAGGAAGCGCTCAATGTAACATCATCATACTTTCTAGTTCTCAAAGGGTACAAAAAAAACCATGAAACTTCGTTGGTCTTGATCATTTAAATCCAACTGCTACCAGGAGCTACCTTCACTCCCCTTTCCTTCATTTCCAATCTCATTCTCTCAGCTTCCTCATATCTTCCAACACTAGCATATATCCTAGCAAATAACACATAATTGGCTGCATTAGACGGCTCTATCTCAAACAAAGCTCTCCCAGCAATCTCAGCCAATTCAACTTCTCCATAAGTTCTACAAGCACCAAGTAACGCTCCCCAAGTCTTTGCAGTTGGCTTCACAGTCATTTCTTTAATAACTTTGTAAGCATCATACAACCTCCCTGCTCTGCTCAATGCATCAACTAAACACGAATAATGATCAGCACTTGCTTCAACTTTGTAATCCGTATGCATTCTATCAAAATAATCCAATGCTTCATCAGCTAATCCAAAATGGCTACAAGCTTTTAAAACGCCAAGAAAAGTAATGTCATCAGGCCGCACGTTTGCCAACTCCATTTGCTGAAAAACTTCCAATGCAGCCTTTGCCTCGCCATGTAAAGCGTAAGCTGAGATTAAATTACTCCAAGCCACTACATCTCTTTCTCGTATACATCGGAATACATTCCGTGCATTAACAAGACTTCCACATCGCCCGTAAGCTTCCACTAAACCACTTCTGAACTGCGGGTGAGGTTATATGTTGTTTCGAAAAGCATAGCCATGAATTCCTTTAATCAAACTCAAAGCAGCTACGCCAACGCAAGCAGGTAATAAAGCAAGAAGGGTAATCATATTCGGCCTCAACCCCATTTTCTGCATCCTTCTATAAAATTCAATAGCCTTAAAAGACCCATCTTCCAATTCATTCAAACCTGCTATGATGGCATTAAACGTCGACTCGTTCGGCTCAACATCCATAGACCGAAACAATTCCAATGCCACCTCCATGTCTCCGGAGCGCGCGTAGAGAGAAATCATGGAACTCCAAGAAACGGGGTTTCGTTGAGGGGTTTCGTTGAGGGGTTTCGTCGAACAACTTGCGTGCCAAAGAGATGGAGAAGCATTTGCCATAAAAGTAGATAAGAGCGCAAGCGACGAATTGGTTGGAGAGGAGAGATGACTTGGTGGCGTGAGCGTGAACGGTGGAGCCGAGTCGAGGGCGGTGGATAGCGGAGCATGATTTGAGAACGAGGGGAAAGACGAAAGGGTCGAGAGTGAGCGACGGCGAGGTTTGCATAGTGTGGAAGAGAGAGAGGGCGTCCAAGTGACGACCTTGGTTCACGTAAGAGGTTAACTGTTTCGTTAAAGACAGTAATCGCATGTAGTTTGTAGTGTTGGAACTCATGTTTCGATAATTCAATGTTCAGTTTATGTAACGAGTTAGCTCAAATACTTAATATATTAAGTGACCCTGTTTTAGTAAGTTTCGATTTATTACAAGTTATTGTAATATATTTAAAATTTTATTTTAATTTATTAAATATAAAAATATTTTTATATAATATAGAGAATTGGAATATACATGAACAGTTGAATCAATGTATTTAATAATAATAAATTTAACAAAATGTGACACTGTCATCCTATTCTTATCATGCGTTGATCGTAATTTCAGGCAGTCTTTTAACGACAGATTCGACCAAAAAAATAAACAAAGGCGTAGAATGAAGGAGGTTGCTCAAATGCATAGTTTATTTAGGCAGTCAGTCTTTTCAGTATGGTCAAATTCCTTTCAGATCTACAGTGCTGAACATGCTCTGAAGCGTCACAATGTGCTGCCCAGACCTTACATGGAGCCACTGAATCACAAACATAACAGTAACACTGCAATATGAATCAACCCAAATTAAGTTATTACAATCCTTAAAACTAAATGCCAATGTTCAAAGTAGAAGACTGTGTTTTACAGTTTATGCATACCAGGTCACAGTGTTTATCATGAGCAGTTTTATCAAAGGGAAATCGAACACAGAGATGCCTTGAATGGGGATAATCTCTACATGCTACCTATCCTACATCAAGAACAAAAAACAAAGCCTTATTAGTGTAAATTTAAAGAACGACGTGTCCGTATAACATAGGGAAGAAAGGAAAACCTTGCCCTTCTCGGCCACGAGAGAGAGATCGTCATCGTCGGCGTCGTCGATGGTAATGGAGAGCTTGGAGATGTCAATGGAATCAAAGGGGTTACAATCAAGAATAAAACAATCCTCCATGTCCATGTTGTTTTTCAGACAAATGTGAGGTTTGAGTTCCTCCTGTTTGCATGTAATCTTGCTTAACCTCTTCGTCGAGGATGGTGGTGATATGACTACTACTGCGTTATCCTCCATTGTTTCCTTTCTGCTACTTGTTTTGGTCGCTTTGCGTATAATCTTCCCTACTAGACCATTAAATCTTCAAGTTCAACGTACAACATAAAAGGACCGTTCGCTTCATGTGCAATACTTAAATATACCTCGGGGAACTCGAGTCCCACCGGTATGACGTTCTCAATTCTCATCTCCCTTCCCTCTGTTTTCAACTTTAAAATAATATAACTTGTTATATTTTGAGTTATACCATAATCAAGCAAATCATTCCATACATTCTATTTTAATTTAATCTCATTTGTTTGCAAAATTAAAAACCTAAGCCTCAAAAAGGTTGATCTCAAACATCATCTGATCTATTTATGGTACATGAAATTCATGCAGGTATGATTGTAGCTGGTCATGCATGCAAACAGAGTGGTGGTGTTGATCATGCAGTTGTGAAAGCATATGCGTTCACCCCATATATCAAACTAGCTGTCGAGTATGGCTGGTGTTCGGTTGTGGTTGAAGGAGATGTTGCATGTATTCATCTTCAAGAAGAGGTGACTCTTTTGACAACACAAATATAGTTATAGCTTAAATTTGTGCGTTAAAAAGCGAATAACACGGTTCATGAGTTGACTCAATGGACATTAAATTATACCTCCCCAATTTGATTATCTGAAATATATTTCTGTAAATATATCAGATGATGCCATTTTCAGTTAATTTATAAAATTAACATGTTTATGAGCTACATAAAAAATTGTAGCGTACGAAGAATTCATCAAAAATAAATAAAGATGGTTTAATGGATCATTTTAGTGATGCATCTGGGTGCACACGAGGATGGATACGAGTCCATCTTGAAATTTGAATTTTGTTTGATTAGTAATTTATTTTATTGAGATGTTCATTTTGAAATTTTATTTGTGTCAACCTCATTTAAATATTGGGTAAATTACACGTTTAGTACCTAAATTACCAACTTTGATCCGTTTTAGTACCTAAACTTTTAAATCTTTTTCAAAATCATACATAACGTTTAGTTTTTGTTTCATTTTAGTACGTCATTGTTAAAAAATTAATGGACGAGCTTGTCAGTCGCTGCATCTATAGCCGTCGAATTCGTCGGTCGATGAAGCCCAAACTTTCTAGCTTGCACATTTTCGACTCCCTAAACGTGATTTCAACCTTCGTTTCACCGAAAAACTCAATCTGCTCAATTTGACAATAGACTCTTTTAACTTTTTCATCTTTCAATCTCCGTCGTCAATCGTCTGATGGGCCTGAAACTGGACTATGTTGATCGACTCGTCATTCTCTCATCGTCCACCATTCAGATTGGTCGTCCGTCCATTGGATTTATGCCCCGTCAGCCCATCCGTTAAGTTTTTAACGGCAAGGTACTAAAATGAAACAAAAACTAAATGTTATGCATGGTTTTGTTTTTTTTTAATTTAGGTACAAAAATGGATCAAAATTGATAATTTAGGTATGGAGTTTAGACTGAAGGTCTTAATTGAAATGTTCATTAAGAAAACAAGCGGGGATAGTTTAGTTGGGAGAGCGATAGACTGAATATCTAAAGGTCATGTGTTTGATCAACATTCACCGCATTTAATTAAAATTGAATTGGAGTATTATTATAATTTGATAAGCTTAGTTTAAAGATCAAAAGATATATGGAGTTCAATATGAATATCTAAATTGAAATGTCCATTAAGAAAACAAGCGGGGATAGCTATGTTGGGAGAGCATCAGACTTAAGATTTGAAGGTCACAAGTTTGATCCACATAAGCTTAGTCTGAAGAGCACAAGATCTATGGAGTTCAGACTGAAGGTCTAAATTGAAATGTTCATTAAGAAAACTAGCGGGGATAGTTCAGTTGGGAGAGCGTCAGACTGAAGATCTGAAGGTCACATGTTCGATCCATGCTCACCTCATCTAATTTTATTATGATTTAAGTCATTAGTTATTTTAAATATAATTAGTATATTGTCGATAAGCTTAGTGTGAAAAGCACAAGATCTATGGAGTTCAGACTAAAGGTCTAAATTGAAATGTTCATTAAGAAAACTAGCGGGGATAGCTCAATTGGGAGAGCATCAGACTAAAGATCTGAAGGTTACTTGTTCGAACCACATTCACAACATCTAGTTTTAATTGAATTGGAGTATTATTATGGTTTGAATCATTAGTTATTTTAAATATAATTACTATACTGTCGATAAGCTTAGTTCGAAGAGCACAGATCTATGGAGTTCAGACTGATGGTCTAAATTAAAATGTTCATTAAGAAAACAAGCGGGAATAACTCAACTGGTAGAGCGTCAGATTGAAGATTTGAAGGTCACGTGTTCAATTCACATTCGTCGCATCTAATTTTAATTGAATTGCATTATTATTATTTGGTTCATTAGTTATTTTAAATGTAATAAAAAAATTACTATTTGAAGAGCATAAGATCTATGGAGTTCAGACTGAATATCTAAATTGAAATGTTCATTAAGAAAACAAGCGGGAATAACTCAATTGGGAGAGTGTCAGATTGAAGATTTGAAGGTCACGTTCATCGCATCTAATTTACAATTAAAAGTTTTGTGTCATTAACATGTATGTTCACCCTCAAAAATATTTTTAAATCCGCCTGACCTAAAAGTAACAATGAAATATTAAACCTCTATTAAGATGAAAAACAATAAATTATTTAAAATAAAATTTGATATAATTTAAATATTTATGTTACAATAAAATGAAAAAAATTAAATTAAAAATCACCGTATATACTCTTTTACCCTTCTAGAAAATTGCACATAGCTTACTTAATAAGTACTTATTTATTTCATTATATATACTAATAAATTATTACTAGAAAATAATCATTGGTATTGCTTTTTTTTATTTTAATTAATTTAAAATATAATAAAGTGTTTTAATAATTTTAATAATTTTTTTAAAAATATTATTTTTTATTCAAGTATTTATTTTTTTATTTATGTGTCCCCCTTATTATAGTAGTTTAGGTTATCATGTACCATCCCGATTCTCTTGTGATTAACCCCTAGACACCGAATCAAAGAAGAAACCACCTTGATGGCTACGTTGGCGGCGGTTGCAGCTCGTAGAATTGCTACTGTATCTAGTACACCGGCTCCCTCTCAAGCCGCTTCTCTCATTCCTCGCCGTGGTCTCGCCGGCGGTGCAGGTATTTGCTGTATACCCATTACGCTTTAAATTTATATTATATTCGATTGTAAAAGTTATCTCCCGATTAACTTCAATTTAATCTCATTTGAATTTGATAGTCGGAGGCAAAGGATCTTAGAAGTTAAGAACATTTTTTACAGAATATTTCTTGATTTTACTTTATTTTATTCTTTGCAGATCACCATGGACCCCAAAAGTTAACTGTTGGCAAGAACCAATGAACCCAGCTAAATGGAAGGAAGAACATGTCAGTTTATTTCTTTTCATGTTTTATATTTCAATTTCCTCATAATTTCTTGCCTTATTTCCAGATTTTAGATAGTTTGGACTAGTAAATTGGGAATTTTTTTTTGGTTTTCATTTATATTTATAATTACGTCCTCTCCCTATCTTTAATTTATTTCAAGTTAAAATCTCGTTGACATTGGGCTGCTTACAGCACACACTGATTTTTTTTACTTCCTATTTTATCATGTATAATTTCATAGGCACCGGTTTTCAATCTATTTGATGATATTGTCGATAAATTAGAGGAGGAATAAATGTGGAAACTTATTCACTTTTTTTATTGCACAGTTTGTTATCGTCTCTGTAACTGGTTGGGGTCTGCTTTTCTATGGTGGATACAAGTTCTTAACCAGAGGCAAAGGCAAGAAGGAAGAGGTACTTTTATATACTCTTGAACTTTTACTTATCATTAGAATTGAGTAAGCAATTTTTTGCATTGTCAGTGTTATGTTACTCGGACTCAGGTGTGTGAGTCCAAGACAATTATGCCCAATTTTTCTGAGCTTTGCCATTTTCATATCTGGAAGTTCCTTTTCAAGAGAATGGCATTGACTGACGTTTGTTGTGGATTTTCTATTATTCAGTTAGGCCTATGTCCCATTTTGCTGGAGATGTTTCCGTTGGTCAAGGTTAAAATTTACTGTTAAACATGGAATGAATATTATTTACCTTCAGTACATACCAGATTATGGTTGAAAACCATAAGTGGTTTATATACCATTCGAGCTCATGTTTACATTTTGAAGCTAAATGTCCCCCATCACACATCTACTGTTGATTATCACTGCTGTGTGATCATTTCATTTAGAATCTAACTAGTGATAGCTAATAGGAGTGCTTAACAGTTCCTTAGGGTTCACATTATTGTAGTGTATCTATTATGGCTTCTCCTCTCATTTTATCTTTTTCTTGTTGTAGAATGCAGTGGAAACGGCACAGAAATGAGGTTGGAGCTTTTAGTTTTTACAAGATTCCCAGTAATAATGTGTGCCTGGAACTTTGATGTCCTTAGGGTATTGTTTTCAATGTAGTTGACAAGGTATTATGTTTTCCCGTTCATAATTTCTCTTTCCCCAAGGGAGTGATGAATGAGCAAAATTGGAGGATGATATCAGCTAACCCACTGCCTTGTTTGTTGTTTAGTTCTGTTGATAATGGGAAGCAACAGTTTTGAGGATTCAGAATCTGTTGATTGATTTGGAAAGTAGTGAACTATGCTTTTTGAATTGAACTTTCTATTGAATTTCACCTTTTATATGATAGAAAATGAGATTTTTTTGTTTTGAATAATCTGAGATTTGAATTATGTTATGGCAGTCATTGACCATGTACTGATACTTCCATGAATTCCAAACATAATTTTACTGCCAAAGGTTATTATAATTACAATGTAAGCGCAATCCAGCTGTTTTCAAACATAAAGTCGCTGAAAACCTTACCCTTTTCGCTTCAAGCTGTTGATCTTTTATTGTTCGTCATCTGCATCATCGATTTATATCGATTATATTATTCGCATGATTCTTTACCCCTCCATTCCATAATTACCCGCATCTTCAGAATCCTGATTTTTGGCACTTGCTCCCATATTTTCACGTTTCTGCAGCTGTCCGCTCTGTTCCATCTTCAAGCACTTCTCTTTTGTCTTCCTCTTGAGAAGAGAATTTAGTCTCAGTCCCTTTTGCTTCAAAATTGCTGTTAGACCAATGACCTGAGGGTTTCCATTTGCTGTATTCATGTCTCTATCTCGTTCCTTTTCTCCTCCAGTGCAGACTCCGTGGCCTTCTGCTTATCTTTGAGGGAATCAAGTCTAGAAATCGTTTCCGCGATCAAGCTCCATTTTTTGGTTTCTAAGGTAATATATCTTTGCTTTTGTCTCTTCAGCTTTCCTTCTCATTTCTTTGTTGTATCATCTTTCCCAACGTCGAAATTGTGAACCTTGGCAGTGTTTAAAACCTATGTTACCCGAATCTGACAGTATGTGTCCATGGTGGATCCATAAATTTAAAAATGGGATCTAAAATTTTAATACACATTATTTTAAAAATATTACGCATGCAGATTATCATATCTCTTCTTCTCTTAATCCATTAAACTATTTTCTTTTTCTTTTTTTACTTTTTCTAAATAAAATGGCTCTTCCTTTAGAGACTTAGTGCATCCGCCACATGTACATGTCTTTGTATCGGATACAATCATCCGGAGGGATGAACCGAATGAGATTAGCGAGATGATCATCTCTATAAAATTTTTACATTTTAATATAGTTTAAATATGTTCTTTTTATTTTTTATTAATGATTTATTTTCGTTTTTCAACTTTGAAAATGTTCATTTATGACATAAAACCTTACATTTTTCTATGTTTGAAAATATGAGTTCATATGATAGATATAATCATATGATGCTTGACACGACCGGAAAGCAAGTGGTTTTGTGATTTCACAATGCATGCACTACAAATGGTTTGATTTCACAAATAGGTCATCTTTGAACTCATTGAATAGTTTATTAACTTCGATGGTAAAATGTATTAGGAGAATATTATTTTCTTTAAAAGATTCAGATTCGAAAGGTTATATTTATAGGATATTATATTGTTAGTAAATATACAATGAAATATTAAAATATTTAAAATTTAATAAATAATTACCATAATAAATAATCATTCAATTTAAACTCACTTTTAAATTACAATTTATAGGAGTATATATTATTTTTACAATTTTTTTATATAACTCTAGTTTTTATTGGGCCAGAGTAAGGCTTCCAGCCCGTTGTACTTCCTTTGAATAATTCCATATAAAATGCAGCCGCCCCAAATATACGGTTATAGGTTCTATTTTCATGGACTCTGCCGAAGATATCTTCGATTCATCGCTAAATCTTGAAGAAACCCATTACCAGGGAGGTTACAAAGAAGGTTTCAACCACGGCATAACCACCGGCAAGGAAGAGGGAAAGGAAGTAGGTCTTAAAACGGGGTTCGAAACAGGCGAAGAGCTCGGTTTCTACAAGGGCTGTGTCGATGTGTGGAATTCCGCCATCCAAGTCGATCCGACCCAGTTCTCTGCTCGGATTAAAAAAAACATCAAGCAGATGCAGGAATTAATCCAAAAGTACCCTGTTATGGATCCAGAAAACGAAAGCGTACAAGAAATAATGGAAGCTTTGAGGCTCAAGTTTAGGGCTATCTGTGCTGGGTTGGGTGTTAAATTGGAATATAATGGATACCCAAAACCTAATGACATCGAATTTTGATTTCAACTAATTTGATTTTAGGTATTTTTATTGCATACGCTGGGTATCAGATGCCCTTTGTTTGTTATCTTTGTTGGTCTTGTTTTTGTCGAATTTGGAAATCAATTCTCCATTAATCAATATTAAGTAGTGCTATTAAAGTTTCAGTCTTGATCTGTTTCTCATCTGGATTTACCCTTTTTTAGGCTGGAGTGTTGGTCCCCACTTCTCACTTAAACTGTGGCTAAATATTTGCCTTTTATCTCATTTTGTTATCTCTATCTACTCCCGTATCTTTTTTGGCAGATCTTAAGCAAGTAGAAAGAGGAGGAGAAGCAAAGATGTTGAACAAGATGCTGGCTTGTGGCAAGGTATACATTTCTGAAAGCCGAAATAGGGCAGCTTTGGAGTCGATTGAAAGAGCTGCCAAGCTATTCCCCGAGGCTGCTATTGTGAGTAAGTTCATAGATGTGGCATACAATAGAGTTGGGTATACGATTGTTTCGAGATTGACTCCAAAACCATCTCAAGATTCATGTCCTTTGAAAGATACAGTGTTTGCCATTGTTAAGTCTGCTTTGGAAACCATAGACTTTGAGTTGCATTCCGGAACTCATCCTCGACTTGGAGTTGTTGATCATATATGTTTTCACCCCTTGGCACATACTTCCTTGGACCAGGCAGCTCTGATTGCAAAGTCATTGGCAGCCGATATAGGCTCTAAACTTGAAGGTTTCTTCCTTTTGAATTAAATGCTATGTAGATATTGCCAGTATTAGTTAGATTAATGAGTGGAACTTTGGAATATGATTTAGCAAAAAAAAATGTTGGCCTGCATGTCTATGCGAATAGTGGTATATTTTAACATCTTGGATCCTGGAAGATGTACTTCTTCCTTTTTAATCAATAGAGTTGGGTATACGGTTGTTTCGAGATTGACTCCAAAACCATCTCAAGATTCATGTCCTTTGAAAGATACAGTGTTTGCCATTGTTAAGTCTGCTTTGGAAACCATAGACTTTGAGTTGCATTCCGGAACTCATCCTCGACTTGGAGTTGTTGGTCATATATGTTTTCACCCCTTGGCACATACTTCCTTGGACCAGGCAACTCTGATTGCAAAGTCATTGGCAGCCGATATAGGCTCTAAACTTGAAGGTTTCTTCCTTTTGAATTAAATGCTATGTAGATATTGCCAGTATTAGTTAGATTAATGAGTGGAACTTTGGAATATTTTTTTTTTTGATAGGAATAGGAGGTCTCATTAAAAACCTCCCTCTTAGAGGATCTTACCCATAAGGTAAGACCCAACTAGCGGAAGGAGGAAAAGAGTACCTCAATTTATTAATGAAAGCCAAGTTACATAAGACTTAAAAACACTTTTACAAACAACATAAGACTTCACACACTCCTCTAGCTTCTAAGCTCAGAAACAGACACCAACTGAAACAGACAAAAAAAAAATCACCCGATCCCCTCTTTTGCTAGCTTGTCAGCCTCGCAATTACAAGACCTTGGAATCCACCTGACAATAAAATTTCTAAAAGAAACAATAGATACAATTTCCTTAACAAAATTCGAAAGGGAAATAGGAACCAAAGCTTGATCTTTGATCCAATCCACGACCAGCTTGCAATCACATTCAATAATGAGTCTGCCCTTCAACAACCATTCTGAAGAAACAAAGATATCAATGCCTCTTCTTACAGCTTTCAATTCTGCTAAATAGGGATAAGAAGGACCAACATTTTCTGAAAAAGAGATGAGTGTAACCCGATTCCAATCCCTGAGAAGACCCCCTATTCCAGCCACTCTCCCAACTCTACTACAAGCCCCATCCACATTGAATTTAAAAAAATCAACTGGAGGAGGAATCCACCCGCACCCTGATCTGTGAAGTTCCTTAGGGGCAGAGATACTATCTGCCAAGGAAGGATCACCAATTAAAGAATCCACCTTAATATAGGAAAGAGGATATTTTGCTAGAAACCATCTTGCTAGCCTTAAGCGAACAGTGAAAAACAATGAAAGCTTGTCCAGTTTACCATTATCAAAGATAATATCATTTCTGATTCTCCAAATTGACCATAGCACTACACCCGGAATAAACTTCCAAATAACCGAAGAAGGCCTCAAATCAGACCAAGAACTAAGTAAGGAAGGAGGGTCAAGTGGAAAAGCTAAACTAATACCCCAATAACAAATTAATTTATTCCACAGCTCCCACGAAACCTGACAGAACAAAAAAGATGCTGGACAGATTCTTCACATAGATTGCAAAAGGGCAGAGAGTATCCTCCCCTAAAGTAACCCCCCTTTTCATCAATTCCATTCTAACAGCAACTTTTTGATGAGATAGCTGCCAAAGGAAAGTCTCCACTCTAGGAGGGACTAATCCCAGCCAAACACAGTTTCTCCACTGAAATGTATCCTCATAAACAGACTCTAGAGATTTCCTGCACTCTTTGACAGAAAACAGCCCGTCCCCCAAGCCATCCCACAGCAGGCAATCCTCCAAAGATTCAATCAGTTTAATGTCTTTAAGGCTGTTCAATAATTCAACCAACTGCAACACTTCCCAATCACAAAGATTCCTCCTTGTTTTAATATTCCACTCCCATCCATTCAAATCAAAACTACCAAAAGCAGCCACATTGCCACCTTTGTTAGTAGAAAGTGCAAAAATCCTAGGAAAAGTATTTTTAATGGACAATCCCCAAGCCAAGTATCCTTCCAAAAAGAGACAGATTCTCCATTCCCTATTTGAATTTTTGCATGAGATCTAAGGCACCCTCCAATGAAGTCATTCTTTGAGAAGTTATTGACAATTCCCCTCCAAATCCACGAGTCTTTATGAGATAGGGCCTTAGTGATATCCAAGGAATGACAACTCACATTATGTTTACAACAAAAGAATTTCTTCCATATCGAGTCTTTCTCATTTGCAAACTTCCATACCCACTTCCCCAACAACGCTCGATTGGTAAGATTCAAATCAACAACACCTAAACCTCCACCACTCAACGGCTTACAAATCTTTTCCAACTAACCCAATGCATTCTCTTTTTCTCACCCCCTCCACCCCAAAGAAAATTCGACATCAAAGAATTTAACTGTTGAGAAATAGTAGATGGCATCTTGAAAATAGATAGGTAAAAAATGGGTAAAGATGAAAGTACCGACTTTATAAGCACCAATCTGCCAGCCATGGATAAAGATGAAGCTTTCCACCCCACCAATTTTCTACTAAAGTTCTCTATGACCGGCTCCCAAACTTCTCTGAATTCTTTTTTGCCCCCAAAGGGAGGCCTAAATAAACTGTCGGAAAGAGCCAATAGAACAGCCAATATCCCTCGCCCATTCTTCAAGTAAGTCATTCTCCATATTAATACCATAAAGTTTACTTTTGGCTAAATGAGATGGAGCCCCGTCATTAGGCCAAAAATCCTCAAAACTCTTCTAACATTCTTGATCTGGGTAATAGAGGCTCGACAGAATATAATTAAATCGTCCGCAAACTGAAGGTGTGATAAATTAAAGGAGTTTTGATCATTGCCGAACGAAAACCCTTGAAACAGACCCAAAACCACTGCTTTTGAAAGCATCTTGTGAAGCAATTCCCCAACAACATTGAACAGAATAGGAGAGAGGCTACATCCTTGCCTTAATCCTTTATCAATAAGAAATTCTTCTGTAGGGGACCCATTGACTAGGACCGATATAGAAGCTGTGGAAATACATTGTGTGATCCAAGAACACCACCTATCACCAAAACCCATCTCTTTCAATAATCTTATAACAATCTGCCATTCCACTGTGTCATACGCTCTGCTGAAGTCTACTTTAAAGACAACCCCTTTAAGCCCTTGTTTCCTCCAACTGTCAATTCCTTCATTGGCCACACAAACACATTCCAACAATTGTCTCCCCGGAATAAATGCAAACTGATTAGGACTGATAATATCTTTGACACAAGAAATAAGTCTCTTTGAAAGCACTTTTGATAGAATTTATATAGGCTGCCCACAAGACTAATGGGTCTATAGTCTTCTATACTCTCCGGATTACCTTTCTTTGGGATCAAGGTAATAAAAGCGTGGTTAACCCCGTGTACCCACTCCTTTCCTTCAAAGAAATCTGAAACAAACTCCATAATCTGCTCCTTCAAATGATTCCAGTATTTCTTATAAAAACCCATGGTAAACCATCCGGACCGGGAGCTTTAGCACTATCAGAAGAAGAAATTGCATTCCACACTTCTTGCTCTGTAAATTCCTCCTCCAGATAAATCCTTTGAACTGCTGATATTTTCATAAAATCAAAATCTAGACCCTCAACCTCAAAAGCCGCTTTTGTGTTGTATGCAGTCCTGAAAAACTCATAAACACTGTTTTTATCTTAACTGGATCCGAAATTACCACCCCTTCAATTTTCAGAGAATGATAGTGTTAACACTATTTCTTTTCATAGCAGTAAGGTGAAAAAACCTCGTATTTTTGTCTCCATTTTTGATCCATCTATTTCTTGAATTCTGCCACCAAATGCTTTCTTCGATCCTTAACAATCTCCACAGCTCATTTTTGAATTCAATCAACTGATCCCATTCCCCCTTAGATAACATTCCACCTTGTGACTTTAAATCCAATTCATTTATTTTAACTTCAAGCAGCGAAATGGAGTCTGATAGCCCTAAATGACTGCTGCCAGGCCAATTTCTGATCTTCTTCTTCGCGTTTTGTAACAACCTGAAAATCCCCCCTCTATTCCTCTTCTTCTTCTCATCAACCACACAACCTTCAACCAAATCATCAAACCCTTTCTCCTCTAACAGAAAATTAAATAGCCTAAAGGGTTTGGGGCCCCAATTGTGACTAACATCCTCCAGCAAGACCGGATTATGATCTGAAATTGATTTTGGTAAAAGGCATTGTGAAATCCTAGGAAAGCTGTTCAAAAATCTGCCACAAATTAGAAATCGATCTAGTCTAACCCATGTTGACAACTCTCTATTACTGCACCAGGTGAAAGTTCCTCCTGACATAGGCAGATCCATAAGGTTAGCTTGTTGTATAAATGATCTAAGAGTTTCAATAGCATGCCAATTTTGTGATCTCCCTTGCTTTTCTTCCGGAACAAGATACACATTGAAATCACCCCCAATACAAACTGGCAAATTCGTCAAACTAACATAACTCAGCAGCTCCCCAAAGAATTCCTCCTTATCAGCTTCAATAACAGGTCCATAGACATTAATGAAGACAAACTCCTTTTGGCCATTCAAAAAATTCCCCACTAATGCTATAAACCTACTATGAACATGCTGGATAGTGACATTGAAAACGTTTTCATTCCACATACTAATCAAACCACCCTTAGACCCCTGTGCAGGAGAAACCACCACTCCCTTCAGCAAATTTCCTCCAATCCTCCTTAAGATCGACGCATGACACTGGTCAAGTTTAGATTCTTGAATAAAAATCATAACAGGTTTTAACTTCTTAACTTGCCTTGCCACTGCTAAAGATTTTTCCTTCCTCCCTAAACCTCTAATGTTCCAAGTAAGGATACTAAATTTCTGCATATACTGACTTCAAAACCAAACACCGAAAATATACCCTGCAAACCAGCATATCACCCTTCCCTTCCTACCTCCAACCCTTTTCAAGACTCACAATTTTATCAATAAAAGCCTTCCTCCCTTCCTTAAAAGAAATACCTAACATCTGACACACTTCCCATGTGGCCATTGCTTCCTCTACCAGCTTCGAGAAAAGAGATGAAGAAGCAGTAGAAATATTCACCATTTCCAAAGCTTCACTGATTAGAGCTCTTCTCTTCCTTCTTTTATTAAATCGAGACCCTGAAGCAGTGTAAGGAGCTGCTGCCAGACTCTCTGAATGATTACTGCCAATTAATGGGACATTCGGAGTCTTCGGAACATCTAATGAACAATTGATATCCTCTTCCTGACCAATTCCCCTATATTCTGAAAAATTCTGCTGAAAATATCTGCTTTCATTTGCCTTCTGTCCTTGATTCAGATTAACCTCTGAACAAAATAATTCTGTTTCGTTATTTGCATCTAACCAAATTCGTCTATTTCTTGACCTTCTATAGACTCTAGCATATCGACCTCTTTCTCTCCTACCACCGGGTGCACTTCTAATTGTCAGACAAGCATAATTTGAATGTCCCATTTTCCAACTTTTAGAGCTCTTCATAAATCCTCCATTATTATCCTCCTGCATGAAACTTCCTTCTGCTATCTTACCACGAGCAGAAATTTCATCACCCTGGCCTTCCCCATTATCCTCCATTAAATCATAAAGAGACTGGAACTTATTTTGTTTATCCAGCCCATCCCACTTAATTTTAACAGCAGGCCCAGCAGGAATTATTTTAGAGACTGGAGAAGATGATTCCCCATTAGAATCAGATTGGGCTGGATGTAACTGATCCACTTCCTTTCGCAGCCCTAGCCCCGCAAAATCTCTATAGGAATTAGACTCAAATTCAAATTCAAATTTTCTGACAACCCATTAATGATAGGTTTCGTGTGGGACTTATGTTTCAGAGATTGTTCCCCGCCACCTTTTAACCTCCCACTTTCTTGACCCTGCTGTAACCACGTGTCCACCTTTGACCCTACTTCCTCTGCTGACTTCTCCCACTTGTCTTCTTCCTTCTCTGAGTTGACTCCTTCATCCTCCTTCGAAAAATCATCACTACTCCCATCATCAAAATACTTCTGCAGCTCCTCTCCGATTCCAGCTTGGAAATTGTTGCACTTCTGTCCCGTATTTATTATGACTTTAAAAGATCTTCCATATGACCCTACATAAGTATATTCGGGTATATCAAAAGGACTTGCTACCCTTAACAGTAATCTCGCTGAAGAAAGATCATCTCTATTCCTTGTCTCCTCCATGATACTCACAAGCTCTCCCCACATTCCTGCAAGTTTCTCCAGAAAAGGTGCAGACCAACTAAGAAATGGTAGCCCCACCAACTCTACCAAGCAGTACGCCAGTGGAACTCCTTCTTCGTTTAACAATGGAGATAACCACTTAAACCAGAGGAACAACTTCTCTCTACTGTACGACCAAGCCTTTAAGAAATCTTCATTAGAACTGAATATAACGATACAAGCATTCTTAACATCTTGGATCCTGGAAGATTTACTTCTTCCTTTTTAATCAATAATCTGTAAGACACCAGTCGGGCATTGTAGAGTTCTGATAAAATTGGCGTTTCTCTGTTCTTTTGTTGTAGTTATTTGGCCATTCTGAGTAACTGCAATGAACACTTACTCATTCTCTCCTCTCTGGAATAGGCCAAAGGCATGGTCTGCATGCCTGCTTATCATAGACATTTAGCTCTTTTGACGTTGGAGCTATAAATATGCAATTTTACTCGTTAATATAATTTCTTTTACTTTGTTTCTCTTTCTAATTTTGTATCGATGTATCATCTTTGTTGCCCACCTTGATTAGAAGTTGAAGGGCAGTATGTAAGAATCGTTGCTAATAACCCTTGAATGTTAACTGCAGTACCTACATTTCTTTATGGGGCTGCTAATGAGATGGGAAGGTTGCTTGATTCTATCAGAAGAGAACTTGGTTATTTCAAGCCTAACTCGGGCAGTATTCTGTGGTCCGGAGGGCCTAAATCAGGGTCCTTGCCACTGAAGCCTGATGCAGGTCCAGCTCAAGCATCTCCAGCAAAAGGTGTTATTCTAATTGGAGCCACCCATTGGGTTGCTAACTACAATGTCCCTGTGTTGTCAACTGATATTGCGGCTGTTCGTAGAATTGCGTCGAAAGTGAGTGAGAGAGGCGGTGGACTTCCTTCAGTGCAAGCGATGGGGCTTGCACATAGTGATGGTGTTACTGAGGTGGCTTGTAATTTGCTGGAACCAAGTGAAGTGGGAGGAGATAGAGTTCAGGTTGAAGTTGAGAGGCTTGCAAAGGAAGAGGGTTTGCTTGTAGGGGAGGGGTATTTCACCGATCTTACACCGGACCAGATTATCGAAAGGTACATGAAGTTGAGTTCTCATTAATGGATGAAATGTGATCTTGGATGCATTATTTGTTCTATTCATGTATCTCAGTTTTTACTGCTAGTCTTTTAGAATACATTTTGATCTTATGAAGAATCACATACACAGTTTACTTCTGTTGTTTGAACTCCATTCTGCATAAATATTAAGTTAATCGTTGGTTTGACAGTCTTTGCTACTGAATTGTCATAAAATAAAGCCTAAATATTCCCCTGATTTCTGGCTTATTGTATTTGCTTAAACATTTTGGTAAACCTGGGGTAACAATTCTTGCTGATTACCACCTTTGACTTATTCAAGTTAATGAACTGTTTTGAAAAGTATTAGCATGTATCAATAATATCTCTGATCATTGAGCATTCTAGATTTGCTCCCCATGTTATAGATTAATCATTCTTTTTTCATATAAAGTTGAGTTAATTGTATCACATATTCTCAATCTATGGCTCTCATTATAATTTGATCCCAAATTTTTTAAATGTTTTAGTTCCATCGTCAAACTATGATTCTCATCCTAAATTAGTCTCAAACTTTTGAATATTTTAATTTCATTCCTGATTAATGTATTTTAAATTAATACTATATAGATAATATAAGAAAACTTGCTTTAAAAAAAATGGCATCCAAATTTTTAGAAAACTTTCATTCTTTAAGTATAGTTTTATGAGGATAATATGTTTTAAACTAATACGAGTATGATTTGAACATTTAATTTTGAGGAAGGAGAGGAACAATAATCAGCACTCTTGATGGACAATGGGCCACCAATAATACGACCAATGTGAACACCTACCTACCCAAATAATTTGGGAATCACTAATCAGTTCCTATAAGGCTACTGCTCTTAGCAACTCGGAAATTATATCGGTTTACATTCCAAGAAAACACGTACCTACACGTCCGTTTTCAAATTATGAAGATCAAACAAACAAAATATATATGATTTGTGAGGTGGAATGAGCAGAGCATGCAAGTACACCAATCACAGAGTCACATGGGGTTCGATTTAAAAGCTCACCTAACTCTATCCACATCCATGCGCCCACCTTGTGATTCTGTGGCCAATTTTCCATTAGTGGAACGACGTTTCTAACACCTTAAGATAACATTTGACTAAAGGCCGACGCTGAAAGGTCAGGCTTTTTGGGTGTTCCTGGTTTGTTCCCCAAATATATCATTAGTGGCTTAGTCTTTTATCTCTACCAGCGTGTTTGCTTTCTAAGCAGCACCTGTTTGTACCCATATGGATCACATGGGGATTTGTTTTTTACTCAACATCAATGATAAAAGGCAACACAAGAAGCTTGCACCCTACCGATTGAAGCGAGAAATAAGATGAGGAATCACGAGCAAAAGGAAGCAGTAGATATCAGCTCAAGTAGCAAGGTAAGGTCCAGCTCTAGTTATGGAGTTTTCTATCCCGTTGCTGGTTAAACTATTTCCACTTCTTTTTGTATAACCAGAAGAAAAACGGTGCAAATCAGTCGGTGTTGATATGCTGCAAGATCTTTTCTCTGAATCTCGTAGCCGTGAACCCCTTGACGCAATAGAGAGAGCAGCAAGGCTAGATCCGGATACTGTGATCGTCAACAAATTTGAGGACCGAGCATATAACAGGACACGCTTCACTCTTGTTTCGTACGTTGCTCATGACAGCACGGGTAGTGCCATTTATAGCCCCTTGCAACAAACTGTCCTGTCCATGGTTGAGGCTGCTTATGGAACCATAAACCTCGAGCTGCATTCTGGTACACACCCTCGGCTCGGTGCGGTCGACGACATCGTTTTGCATCCCTTGGCTCGGGCATCCTTGGACGAAGCAGCTTGGCTTGCGAAGGCTATCGCAGCAGACATTGGCAACCGATTCCAAGGTGGGTTCTTCTTCTAATTAGTATTGAAAACTTATTTGTAACGTTGTTTGTACTTTAATGTTGCAGTGCCAGTGTTTTTGTTCGGTGCGGCACACCCAACAGGGAAGGCCCTGGATAACATCAGGCGGGAGCTCGGCTACTACAGGCCCAATGCCATGGGCAATCAATGGGCAGGCCAGGCTTTGCCTGAAACGCTCTCTGTAAAGCCCGACGAAGGGCCAACCAGTGTATCTCGGGCTAAAGGCATCACCATGATCGGGGCAAGCCCATGGGTTGGACTGTACAACGTGCCCGTTATGTCGACTGATGTCTCGGTGGCTCGTCGTATTGCGAGAATGGTGAGTGCGAGAGGAGGTGGTCTTCCAACGGTCCAATCACTGGGCCTGGTACATGGTGAGAACTCGATCGAGATAGCTTGCATTCTTCTGGAGCCGAATCGGGTCGGAGCAGATAAAGTGCAGTCCCGAGTTGAGATGCTTGCTGCCCAAGAAGGGTTGGATGTGGAACAGGGCTATTTCACCGATTCTCCACCTGAAATGATACTTGAAAAATATCTGAACTTAATTTCTGGTAACAGAGATTGATAATAAAATGGGTCATTGTGCAGTTTACATTTGACCCTTCCAATAAATCTTGTAATATAAGCATCTGTGACCCTTCCAATAATTCCAGAGTTTCATGTACATTATCCCACAAGTAGTCTGTGAAACAAGAGATGATCGTGTTCATTAAAAACAAATGATTAAATAAATAAATAAAGGGAGGCCGGTATTTATTTAGCCTTAGGCAGTGGGGATGGGTTGGCAAATTGAAATGTTTAGTCCCCCATCGGCCTTGGCAGCTACTGCACCAGGGGCCTTGTCCCACAACAAATTAAAATGAAATTACCAAAAAGCTGAGTATACACTGTACCTTACACGTTCAGATTCGCATAAAAACTCTTCATCGCAGTTTTTGCAATCCAAAAGTGCCCACCGTTTTGCCTACACAACACTACTATTTGCTATCCAACTTGAAGCCCACGTCCCATTCATTTTCATCTCCATCAATATACAATTTTATCATCTTGGACTCTTCTTAAACCATGATGTAATTCTCCCAAACCTGTTCTTTTTCATTTACGAAACTTATCTCAAAAATTCTATTTTAAAAATATATTAAGTTCTGTAGCTGAGTCCACCTCCCGGCATCTCCCCATGTGCCAAAAGTCATTCCAATGCATATTTGAAGGGGGGAGCCAAGCCATGAATTAAGGTGACAGCAAACAGTTGAAATGCCTATGAAGCGTGAAAATACCAGAATTTTCTTTCCTGCCATCATCATCTATGTTTGGAAAAGAAAAAGCTCCAAAAATCTAAACCCTGAAATGATGTCCCTTTCCTTGGATTCAGGGGGAAAACAAGCAGATATAATCCGATGTATTGTTGTCGGGCTGAGGCCACCGCTGCATCTGTAGCCTAATGGAAAAGTTAATAATTACTGCATAACCAACATGTATAGAAAACCTTGAGCACCACTACGTGAAAGATGGTAATATGAGAACAGATTTCATGCTTTATGTTCGAAAGACTCAATTATTTAATAATAATTAATTAAACACCTTTATAAACAACATAATTAAATGTAAGAATTCTAAAAATAACAATCAACCTTTTTAACTCTAATTTTTAACAGTGGAAAATGCAGTAAAGAAGGGGGACATGCCTACTTGGAAACTTTGGGAGAATACAATAATCAAAAGTAAGTTGGTTCATATTTATTCCTGCTCTAACCGCAGACTGCATAGCTACTAGTCTGTATGTTATTCAAGGCCATGCCCTATGCAGCTATGCTAGGCACTGTATTATGTTATAATTAATAAATCAATTGGAGCTCTAATTACTAGCGATTAAATTTACCTGAATTGTTATCAAATTATACGTTTTAATCTCGAGTTCAACATCCCAAACTTTTAGAAATGCGCTATAGAAAATGTCATCATTTTTTTAATATTTTTGGTAAAAATTATCTAAAATATTATTTTTTTTACTGAAAATATTATTATTGGGCTTTTACCAGAAATGTTTAACATATCTAATAAAGTGCTACCCAAAACGAACCTGTAAGTGATAAAAGAAGGTATTTTTCTTTTTAAAAATTTTAAGTTTGAGTAGCTACGTTTGCAATGCGTTATCAATAATTAAAAACAAATATTATCTTATAATTAACTCTAATTATTCAAAAAGAAATATTAATAGAACGGAAAAAAGTACTTACGTCTAGAATTTACTATAATATATGTAAATTTATATTTTAAAATGTCACAAATAATACTTGTGTAATATTTTACGTGATATTTTTTTAAATATATTATTTTTCTCGAATATAATTATTTAGGCGATATCTACTTAAAAAAATATAAAATTTGTATTACTTCCACTCATTGATTATCATTTGAGTACTTTATCTTATATCATGTATGGTGATATGTATTATTTTATTAATAATTTCATTAACCAAGTTCCACACATTTCAATTTTTACCATCGAGTTTAAGCCACCTTCAAACCTAAGCATCATAATTGAAAGAGATAATCCTGAATTTGATGATTTTTACCTTAGTCTTTAAATTTTATTTTAGCTCATACCAGTTTATGAATTTGACAACCTTCTTTTATTTTAGTCAATTTATAGAATTAAAAACAGGTTAAAAAATCATGTTCAATGATCAAATGATCAATGTGGATAGAATAAGAGTTTGTGGATTAAACTAAAAAAGATAATCAAATTTTAAGGGTTAAAAAGTATTTTTCCCTCATGAAAATTCATTTTTTTGAGGACGTTTCACCGTCATGAAATGACACTCACCGGTTGCCATGCCAGCTACCAACCATATTCTTCCAACAAGCACACAAAGGATGTTTTCTTAGTAAAAGGCTACATACAAAAGGGAAATAAAGAAACGTCATAGGTAAAGATCCTTTTGTTTCCTCGCATAGGAGACAATGAATAATATCTCTGACTCAATATGATCATTTGATTATATTGTCTGTTGCCAGACCAAACTACTGTCACTAATTGCCCTACTTCAACATAAAAGCAATTGCTTTTTGTTAATTCTAACACATTCACATGCTTGGTAATGGAATAACACGAAATTCTCAGGGAAGGATCAAAAGCTTGTGTTACATGGTGTTGTCAGAGCTAATCTATCTTGTTTATACGGTACGAGAATATGATTTTATGTTATGTAATTGAACTCATAAAAATAAATTATTAATAAAAATATTTAAAATATAAAAGAATTTGAATTTTCAAATTCCTTGTGTTATATCAACAAGATCTTCAATATTTGTTGTAAAGCTCAAGTTCATACTATATATTAAATGTTGAGTTCAACAACCTTCAAGTGCCCTTACACGTTGTCTGTAAGAACTGAAATAGGCGGTGTATAATAACTGGCTTCATTACCATTCCATCGCAATATCATATATCAACATCGTACTATGCACACCTGAATCGCCGCTGCTCTTATGATTCTACATTTTTATGTTAATGTTGCTTCTTTATTAGATCTTTGCTTCTTTATTAGATCTATGCATCTGCATGGGTTTACAAAAGTCAATCTCCACTAGTGCCGTTTCTCAACAAAAAAATCCTCTTTTTCTTTCTTATTTTGGAATACAGGTTGCCTTCTCTCCGTCCGTCGCGGCACGGTCGGATGCCGGTCGGCCCTCCTCAGCCCCCATATTTCTTAATGGAAGAATTTTGTTGATAAAGGAAGAATGAGTTTACAAGAGATGTACCTAGTAATACTAGTGGAGTGGCTTATAAGTTTCATTTATACAGACAGTATGACGCAATGCAGAAGATGAGTGGCAGAGTGAAATTATAAAAAGGAATTGCATTGGGAAGAGAACAAAGAAATGAAATAAAAGGGGCAAAAATGCATTAGTATATAAATATGAAGCCCCCCAACACTAATTTCAATAAACATGTCTCCTTTCCATGAGAAAGGGATTTTCCCATAAACCTGACCCCGAAATCCGAGCCGAAGCCAAACCTCTTTCTCTTTATATCTCTCATGTCATGCAAGTAGCACCCAGGCTTTAACCCCTCTCAGCTCAACGCTCCCTTCGCCCCACGACATTTGTTTAATTGTTTCTATTTGGCCAGCTCATTCACCTCCCCTTTCCCCCCACCCCTCAAATACAACACAACTCCAGCACCAAACCCTCTCTCTCTCTCTCTCAACGTATTCTCCACCAGATCTCCTTCTTTCGGAAAACTTAATAAGGAGAACCGTGTTTGGTGCGTGCGTGCGTGTGTCTTTGTTTGATAACGTCTGGGTGAGGGGGACCTTGTTAGAGAGAGAGAAAATGGAGAATGAAGTAGAAAGAGAGAGTGGGTCGATTATATTTAGCGAGGAGGAGTTGATAGAGGTAAGTGGATTGAAGAAAGGAAGAGATTTTATAGAAGTGACATGTGGGTGTACCAGTCATAGATATGGTGATGCCGTTGGCAGGCTTAGGGTTTTCTCTAATGGTGACCTCGAAATCACCTGTGAATGCACCCCTGGTTGCAATGAAGGTCTCTCTGTCTCTATATCTCCGTTTAGCCCTTCTTTTCTTTTTTCCATCTCTCCCCTTTTTTTTTGTTTTCCTTTGCTGTTGTTGGGAGCATGAGTTCTGATTTCTGTTGGTGTTTAATGCGTGCTTTGTTCGAGTTATGGTGCATTTGACGTTGAAGTGTGTCGCTATCTTATTTAATCGACGTTTTGATAGAGAGAGAAGTGGATGGTGGGAGGCTTGAGTCCTTTCGTTTTCTGGTTTCTTATTGACACAGTTTATGTGTATGTTGTTTTGTCTCAAAGACTTGGCTTTCCTCGGTTGCAAGACAACAAGATCGTGTTTATTCATATTTTGACACAGTCCGTCAGTTTATTTGTTGGTTATAGATATCCGAGTAGCGTCTTCAGAATAACACCCGCATTGTATGGTTTATTGTTGTGATTCTAAGGTCTTCGATATAATCTTTTCAGCATCTGGTTTTTCAATCTTAAAGTTCTGTTTCTTATCGTTACATAGTCAAATTCATGGAGAAAACATGTGTCCATATGGATTCTGCGAACGATTTTGTTCTTCTTTGTGATGGCATGCCACTTGTGAAGTGTAACTGGAAGGGATTTTTTTTAATCATTTTCATGTCTTGTTTTACAAGGAGTGCTATGTTTCTAGGAGGGTGAACGTCCTCTTTCATGGGTTCTTTTTGTGTGCATGTGCTATTCTTTACATGATGCTACCATGTGTAAGTAGTACGAATTTGGCTCGAAGGTTCAAACAGTACTTCTACTAGCTAGATTCTATTACTTTAAGACTTTAGCATATAACTCCATGATATTGCATCCAATTTATTTATCATTGAAACGGTATCGTTAAGGAAATCAAGTTTAGCAAAATAAATTAAAGCTTAAAACATTTGCCAACTTTTGCCGTTTGATCGGTGGTTAGTGTTGCAAATGTTTCTTGTTCGAAGGAGTAGATTGCATGCCAAGTATGTGCATGTCAAGGAACCTTAGGTCTGTTAGGAGACTGTGTTGTTGTTCATAAAAGAAGAAATATTAGCCATGTCAAAGAAAACTTAGTTGTGCATACCAAACCTTGAAACCTTCATCTCGTGTAATTCCCCCAACTTTGAGCCTAAAGTCAGGTAAATATTTCTTTTGTACGATTGGTCATGTTGGGGCTTGTAAAAAGAACAAGGTGAGTTTGGTGGCCGAACTATATAGTCTATGTCCTTACAACTATATAACTAAAACTGGCTTAAGCTGTCTGTACTGTTGTCTCTGCCTTTATTGTTTATTAGAACCTTCCATTGTCTGGTGCATATGATATCATCTTTTCCCTCTTACATAGTCCTAGTTCCTTTTTGTTTTCCTAACAAATATAGAAGCTTTGTTTTTTGTTCCATTTTTCTTCTCTAATTGTGTGAATGTTAATTTCGATGGCTAGACAAGTTGACTCCTGCTGCGTTTGAGAAGCATTCTGGAAGGGAGACTGCTAGAAAGTGGAAAAATAATGTTTGGGTGATAGTTAATGGGGAGAAGGTGTCATTATCTAAGACTGCATTGCTGAAATACTACAATCAAGCATCTAAAAATGCCAATGGTACTAACAGATCCCATAATGGAAGAGTTTGTCATCGTGATGAGTTCGTTCGCTGTAGCAGGTGTAACAAGGAGAGAAGATTTCGAATGCGGACGAAGGAGGAATGTCGGATTCACCATGATGCTTTAGCGGATGTGAACTGGAAATGTTCGGATCTTCCATATGACAGGTTTGTCTCCCAATTATTGATCGAGTCTTATTTTTTGTCATGTCCGAGCCTGCTGCCTACAACATATAGTGGTATCAGTCATTCTAGAACATGATCCTGGACTTGGTTCTTTTCTACCTCTAAAACATCCAGTTTTTAAGGAATTAAAATGTAAATTGTAGATAATGCATGTGGTAGTATAGCCCTTTTGATTATATGCTAGTTTTGTTTAATTAATAGCATTCTACTAGAAACGTGGGTCAATAAGAACGGTTATATTTTCGTGCTTTATTGTAGTTGTTTCGCTCAACTTATGCATCAACATACAACCATTAACTTTTTGTTTAAAAAATGCTTTTAGTTGGCAAGTACATTAAAATTATAATCTACGAGGATATGCATCATTTTCTGTTCATTAGCTGATGAAGACAATCTTTGGCTCTGTTCTTGAATACCTGCATATTTTCTTTCTTGAAATGAATGTGGAGAGGGAAGAGAGTTCCGAAAATGGTCAGAGTTGTAGAATTGATATTGTTAATATCTTCTTTATGTTATGATTAGATATGAACATGTTAAAGGTTTTGACAGAATTTGGTTGCATGGAAATGTAGAATACTCAAATCATCTGCAATATGTTATGGCATGCTGGCAACATACGCTCTTTAGCTCATAATTAACTTGCTTTCAACGTTTGATTTGGTTTTGTTTTCAGAATAACATGCGGCGATGAAGAAGAACGAGCAAGCCGCAGGGTATACAGGGGCTGCACCCGGTCTCCGACATGCAAGGGTTGCACGTCCTGCGTGTGCTTCGGGTGCGAAATCTGTAGGTTCAGTGATTGCAGTTGCCAAATTTGTATTGACTTCACCAGGAATGCCAAAGCTTGAATCAACTTTTAGAGGATGGGTTCCTTTTGTTTGCTGCTTTTGTTATTAGACCCTCGGTGTCTTGGTTCAGCTTTCATGCTGCCTGCTTATCCACTGGTTTAAAAACTTTAATTTAATCAAAATTCGATCCCTACGTTGATGCTTGTTTGGTCCGTATTCCCTTCTTCTCTGCTATTTAACTCTGTTTATTCATTGATAAAATTGACAGATTCCATATTTTCCTCATTCTTTCTTCCTCTATTATATGTCTCATATATGGTTGGATATATGGTCTAATTCTGATTATAGGTCCTTAAAGCTTTAAATCGTTTTATATTAGTCTTCAAACTATTTTAATACGATGAATTTACTTTTATAATGTTTTGTTAATAGGTCCTTATTTTTAAATTAGTCTTTTATACTATTCATGCCTTTCAACTAGATCATTATATTAACTCGGTATGCAATCAGTGATGACACGTATCACTATAATTTGGTCGCAGCAACACTTGTCTGCTCTTCATACTTTTCTATTAATTATTTTTCATAAATTAACAAAAACAAATAATAATAACAACTTAATAAAATGTAACATTATTCAATCATATTAATTTTATAAACATTTTTAGAGAAAATAAAAATATATACATAACAATGATAAATGAATATATTCAAATAACTTGTTTATTAAAAACTAATTTAAAATGGTATATAAATTATTTTTATTCATTTTCTATATTTAAAAACTTTTTTATTAAATTATTGATAAAAGAAGATTATTGGAATTTTACCGATAAATCGATAATTGATTATTAACTTAAAATATTTTGAGTTGTAATGGTTAAATAAAAAACTAACCTATATAATTCGAGGGTGGTCGATAAAATTAACCCTTAGTTATCACTTCAAAATTGAAAGGTCGGTACCACCGAACCTTAGTATCGCGGCAGGCGGCACTTATGTTTAGCTATTAGTATTTGATGAGTTAAAATTTTTTTATTTATTGAAATTGACGAATTTTTTTATAACTTGAACTTGAGTTAATTTTTAAGTTTTTATTTAAGTTTTGTTGTAAATATTTCTAATATTATAATTATATTTGGTTCTAATTTAAATAATTTTTATAACTATATACAATACATATATATTTATTCATATGTGATATATATATATATTATACGGAGTCGAGAGACTCAACATAAACGTGAAAATTAATGTACTAATTATTAAAAAAATTGAGTTATTAGAGTTATATTTTACAACTCGGTTTAAATTTAATTTTTTTCTGAATTAAATCAAGTTTATGAAATTACAACTCGAAATTAATTTAAATTTAATTTTTTAAGCTAAATCGAATTATAAAAACAAATTTTTCGAATCGAGTTTTACTCATCCGAATTCTGCTGTTTCGTGCTCAGCCACTGCGGCATCGGTCTTTCAACCTAAGTTCTAGCAAACTTTTTCACCACAACAGCCGACCATTAGAATAGTAGTAGATCTAGTTAACATCTTTATGGAAAGTGATGCATCTACAAATATTTATAAGAGTAAACATATAAATATTTATAACATAAATTTTTTATACGAATGTATATAATTAATAATAAAAGAATTGGTAAAAAAATTGAATTTCAAGAAGAGTATCAATACGTGGATTCACCACTGTTTATGGGGCAACTTGCTTCTTTGGATCTTGATGTTCCTTTGGGCAATGACTCCCAAGTCCCAACCAGAGAGCGTGTAGTAATTAAAAAACCGCGGCGGCATGCATGGCATTGGAAAATGCGAGACACACGCGGAGCAACCACAATTTCCGTTTTGAAAAGTCAAAGGATATGTGTAAGAATAAAACACTTAAAAGTCAACCCTCTCATTCATCGATGATAATCATATGCTTCAACTAAAACTCGAGGGTCATTCATGAGCGATGTAAGCATGGCGCCTCCATTGCCTTGCCCTTGGCATGTCGGAACTTGGACCACTCTCATCCTCCGTTGCTTTTTTTTTATTGTATTGACTTCTTCTTTATTTTCGGTTCCCAACATACAGAAGCTGACTTTTCTCTTAGGTCAAATCGGGGACAGGACCAGTAAGCTTCAGCATAACATAACATCGGATAATAATAAAAAAAAGATGTTCATTTCCTTGTCTTTTATACTTGAAGATGATCATGGTAAATGAAAGTTGATGGACCTCATTGTCAAATATATTAATTACGGGGACCATTAAATGAACCTGAAACATAATAAAATGTTGAAAGCTGTAATATTTATTACTAAGTAGTTGGTGCTGTCTTTGTATTATTACCAAACCCAACACAAACGAGCTTTCCAATGCAACAAAAAACCAAAGCAAACACGCCCTTTCTACTCTTCTGTCCTCTTTCTTCACATGCACCTCATTTAAATTTGTACAACGCCTTTGCGTTTTTGAATATATTTTCCAATAATATTGCTTATTTAAACTTAAATTCTCTTACCCTTAAAAGAGAGAGAAACGTGTGAACTAGCTTGGTAGCTAGTATGGTGTGATTTAACTTCCTAACCGACAGCTATACATTCATGCTGCTTGGGTTTTCACTAACATGCATGTATTTAATGGTTCTTGGCTACGTGAAAAAAAATATAATTTGTCAAGCAGATAAACCTTCGCTAATGCTAATAACATCACCTAATCTTACGATAATTTAAACTTTTTAAATAATGATGATCATTGGATCTCAACCATTATGGGGGTGATCAGTTGAGTTCCCAGAAAGGCAGAGCATTGATCATGGTCGGCTCCATCCAATGAATCAACTCGCCTTTTGTTTGTCAATTAGTAATAATTAAATTGAAACCATACCCTAACACAAGCATAAGAAAGAACATTTAAATCTTTTTTTCTTGTGTGAAACTTGATTATTAAAGAATGAAGATGATACATCTTATCGTCCATCTCCCACAAACAAAATAGGAAGGGTTGCAAAAGAAGCTAGTATTAGGACTCCTCCCTTGAATTCAACGGTAAGATCGAAGAATCGCTCCACAAAAAGTGCAGACAATTGCCTTCCAAGATTTCCAGTAAAACGGCACGTAGCAAAACCTGGTACGAGTCTTCATATCAGCCACACTGGCCCCTCCACCGCACCTCGAGCAAAACCCTGCGGCCGGCTTACTTTTGCTCACCTCCTTCGTCTGATCAACCAGAAAACAGAAACACACCATGCTTTTGTCGTCTTCTTCTTATTTTTTTAGCTTCACCGACCAGGATATATATATAATTCTTTTGAACAACCGTTGACTCCAATAGTTAACACTTAGCTGTTAAGAAAAAGCGAAAGGGAAGTTATTTGTATAGGTGAGTTAGTGGGGGCAGATATATATATAGGTGAGTTAGTGGGGGCAGATATATATATAGGTGAGTGGATGAGGGTTAAAGGGCGAGCAACTTTGGGTGCCTGATTTTGACCATTTCGTTCAGAAGTATGGGCAAAGAGTTGCTCGATGTTTAAGTGTTAACAAAAGCCTGTATGTTAACGACACGTGTAATTTAGTTGAATCTCACCCGTACACGTATAGGGGAGGAAAAGATAGGTAGTCTTGCAGGCGTAGAGGCGACGGATATTTTGTCGTTTGGTCGATTTAAGGTCAGACAATAATCGGTGTCCTATCGACTTTTTTATTTTGTTAAATAAATTATTTAATTATTTTAATAATAAAAATTAAATGCAGTTAATTTTTAAATGTAATTGAAAGAATAAATGAATTGCTTTTAAATCAATACAATTGTATTCACATTTATTTATTCATTTTCAAAGTTATGTTTAATTAAATTTCTATAAATATATTTATATACATTATCTATTTTTAAAAATATTCATATTCCTTCGTTTTATTTAATGTGGTCGACAACCGACACTCTCTCTTTATTTTTTATTTATAAGCTAAAACAAAATAATAAAATAACATCACTAATCCTTATATTCTTTAAGTTTTACAATTTGACCTTTAGAACATCATAATAGGGGCGAAGCTCTATTAGGTCCAAAGAATCCCAGACACTGTTAAAAATATAATATATTCATTATAATTTTAATTTAATAATATTTTGATTCATATAAAAATAAAATATTTAAATTAAAATATATATAAATTTAGTAAATATTTAATCGAGTAAAGGTCAAATTAAAAAATGATAACTTCATGTTCTCAAACTTTTGATTTAGTAACAATTTAAGTCATTCTAAGTTCAAATATTAAACAAATTAAATGTTCTCTTGTATATTTTGAGTTTTTTTATATATAAATCTAGTGTGAATATAATGACTCTTAACCATTTGATAATGTACATTAATATCTTTACATACACAATGCTCAAACACGGGACCTTGGGGATAACAATATCCCTTAATCACTAAAGATTCTCGATACATAATTTTTAATATGAATACCTAATAAGTCATTTTATTTTTCATAAATAATATAATATTTTGACCAGTCTATATTTAATACTAGCTTCATCCCTACATGCAATATCTCTGTTTCAAATAACAACGCACAATCTATTCATGAATATGTTCATATGTTGTTACACGTGAAAGATCTACACGGAAAAAAACCCCCAAAAAAATGAAATGGAAACAAAATCATAATGAATAATTAGTAACAAAATAACAGCGTATCACGAAACAAACGGATAGAGCATATTTATGCCATAGACAATACCTGGTTAAATGATTTTAATGAACAATGAATACTAAAGTAACAGACCAGAAAATTTCAGACTGTTCCTACTCACAGCAACAGGATTCCTACATCATGATCTCCTCTTCGGATCAAGCTTGGTTGCCTTAGTAGGAGTATTCACCTGCTGTCCCTTTACAATGGATGTATTTTCTCGGATCAACATTTGACGGATCAAATCTCTGCAACTTCAGTTCACAAACTAATTAATCGGCTTTATTATTGCCTTATACAAGTCAGTCTCCAATTGATTCGTTACTCGGTCGCTCCCTGCGTATGATGTCCAATAGATCTTGAACGACTTCAGACATAAGTGGCCTGAATTCTGGTTCAGACTGCAAAATGAAATTGCAGTTAGGAAGCATAGAAATTTTACTATCCTGTGGAAGAAGAGAGCCACTCTCCTAGTTACATAATATTCTCACCTGGACACATCGAGAAATGATATCGGCAAAGCGTGATAACGCTTTAGCGGGATACTCTCCGTTGAGAGAAGGGTCTACCATTCTGGATAATGCTTCAATGTCATGAAGCTGCGGGATTGCCCATCTCACTAGAAATTGTTCCCCTCTACTCCTATTCCTGAATAACATTTTCAACAAAATTTTAACTAAACAGTTATTTTCAGTGGACACCGATGATAACTGCAGTAAGGTTTCACCATTTACCTGTCATAAGATTTCCTGCCAGTTAAGAGCTCCAACATAAATACACCAAAACTGTAAACATCACTCTGGGAAGTATAAATTCCAGACTCGAATTCTGGTGCTCCATAACCGTAAATCGATTGTAGTTGTCCTGACAACTGAAAGTGGAACATTTTTAGGCAAAGAAATGTTAGTAGAAACGTCAGCCACTCTTTTTCTACGCTTATACTAGTAGGCGTTTTAACGGGTGGTGTCATTTGTCTAAACCAAGGATAGATGATTAACAATACTTCAAAGTCGCATAAACCAATTTTCCTCAAAATTATGTTTTCTAGAAAAATGTTGTCATCTTGTCTAACTTTTTATTTCCATTCAACTGATTATTTGTAAGACAGCATCTTGTCGAAATGCAAACAGTCTTAACAAGAATATGAAAATTTAGAGAAGCCGGTTAAAGTTATCAGCTTTACAAATGTACCACGTTCAGAAAGGTAATATTAAGATGATAAGCTTAAACCTACCTGGCTTACGGAACCTGATGCTATTAATGGAGCCAAACCACAATCAGAGACACGCACATCGAGATCATCATCGAGAAGAACATTGGCAGACTTGAAATTTCTGTGTACAACAGGTGGCTGGCAGGCCTCATGCATATACCTTACAATTTAGAACAAGAAAATCAGGACCGAAGTGGTGTGCAGTTCAACACAAAATCTTAAGGAAAGGGCTAAGCATAATTAACCACCCTCCCAAACCCCAAAAAAAAGTAGTGTTTATGTGTCTCGGTGTCTTGAGCAGAAAGAACCGTGAATGATCTGTTTAGTTGTATCAATCTGCATATTAAGAAATGCACATGTATCTTATTCCTCCTATTTTTTTGACGGCAGTAGCTACAAATGCAACTTTTCCAGTCCAGCATAAAGCTAATTGGAACAGAAAAGCCAGTTACAGAAAAGAAAAGGATTCATCACAAAACCTCCCATCTGTAGTTTTCACTGCTTCCTTTTGACCTGTTCATAATTATTTTATTTTACACCCATTATTAATTTAGGTTCATTGTTTTTACAATTTAGTCTTTATATACAAATGCAGTGAGCTCTAACCAGATTCAATTTTTTAATTTAACTCCTTGTCAATAGCATCATGCTCAAGCATTTGCACAATGTAACCAGTTATACCCGATCTACTTAAACAAAGACTTCAACAACAAAAGCAGTCAGTTGAAATTATATAGCTGGAACCTACTAGAATGGAGAGAAACAATGCCAAGATGACTTACTCTAAGGCTCTAGCAGCTCCAAGAGCCATCCGAATGCGGGCATTCCATGAAAACTTCTTTCTAAATTCATCATCAGAGTGCAGTGCATCCTGCAGTGATCCATTGCTGCAGTACTCAGAGATCAAAAGCTTTTGACCATGCTCCGCACAGTAACCCATTAGCCTGACAATATTCACATGCTGGATACGGTCAATATTCTCTATCAATTCAATAAATTCATCATCCTTCTGCTGACTTGCAACTCTCTTCTCCAGTTTCTTGATCGCAAGTAGCTACAGATGCATACAACAAGATCCATCAGAATCTGAAGCTGCTCGATACATACTAACATCTAAAAGGTCTACTTAATAAGCTACAGCCCCATCCATGCACAAGTGCAACTTGTGCATATACACAGGTGTAAAACAGGGTTAAGCAAAGGACGAAGGCAGGGAAGAAAAGTAGGAACTAAAAATTCTAAAACTGACTAGCAATATGTTATGGTATCTAAGATGTAAATTTACCAGCTCAGGTTAACTCCAAAGGCCTGTTAGGTGTATCATCATCATTACATTCCAATAGCGAGTCTATGACACAATAATACAGACTCTTGGAGAAAAATAATTAATGGGAGCATGCTTCTAGCAAAATCAAATCAGTTTAAACCCAACAATTATACCTTCCCATCCGGGAGTTCTGCCCTATAGACACTTCCAAGCATGCCGCCCCCCAACAGATTTTCTTGAGAAAAGCTATTTGTATATTGCTGAAGGGCTGCAATGGTGAAAGACTTTGCAAATGTAGATGCCTTTGGAGTTTTGGCAGAAGGCCTTGCGGTTGCTTCAGGCACAATGGGTTTCACAATGACCTTCTCAGAAAGTGGTACAGGAGGGGGTGGGGGCGGAGGCGGGGGAGGAGGAGGAGGTGGTGGTGGTGGTGCTGGTGGAGGGGGCTCCATCATCATCATATCAAAGCTAGTCATCCTACTCATGTCTATCTCATGGTCAAATCTCTTTGGAGTTGTGCCTATCCTTTCCACATTTCTCTCTTCCTTGTTCTGAGGCTTAGCAATTGCCACCATGCTTCCCCTTTCTGTTTGATTACCTCCCTCAGGTCTCGTAACTGCCACTTTCGGGCCTGTTCATGAATTTTCAAAAACCATTATTGCTTAAGTGATTGAAACCTGACGATAATAACAAACAAAAACTTTATCTAAAGTGAAATTGAGTAAAAGCTGTCATTTGCCTTTCTCTGTCTGACTGGTTGTGGCTGGCAAAGACCCGTTCCCAGTAAGGTTCTCTCTGTTTCCTCTATATTCTCCTACTTGATGTCGTTTGAAAGCCCCACCAGCCTCTTCCCTTCTACGGATGCACTTTGGCATAAAAAGCAGAAGTGCTAACGCTAATATTATAAACAACAAAACACCTGCAATTGATATCCATACCACCTTTTTAGTAGTTAAGAAATTCTTCTTCTCTCTAGAAGTAGATCCTTCCGACACAGAAGGTCCGTCAGCATGTTTCCCAGGTGTTTGATCAGATGTTGGTGTTTGACCAGAACGTGGCGGCAAACGGGGTGGTGCTAATGGTGATGTTGGAGCAGGCAATGGAGCAGCAGTGGAATTAAACGGGTTTCCATCACTCCTGTTAAGAGAATTTCAATATAAGCATACAAGTAACAGAAAGAAGTATGCAAACAGTATATTTGGTTTTATAGACATATATTTACAGGACGAAGCTCTTAAGAAAAAAATGGGGCAAGATTCATCAACAAAAGAAGATTACATTTGGTTTGTATGCTATGAGAAATTTGGAGACTTTTTGTTATTCAAATTCGAATGAGTGCCCGAATAAATATTCTCAATTTCTTTTAAAACTTTTCGGTTTACATTTGATTATTCGCCTCATACCAAAAGCATAGACTAAAAAATATAAAATGTCGAAAGGAACGTTGCCAATGGAGCATAAATCCATTATCCAGGTATTGACCAATTCTACAAGATAATTGATCCTATTGGTATTTCTGAATGATAAACGAAGCTTACAAACATATCTAGTATATGTATCTATGGCATCCAATGTATATAAAAAACCATGAACTTTAATGATGCGTGCTTGCTTAAAATTGATAGTACAGGGATTACTTGAAGCTCGGGATGCTCAGCATCTTCGCAGGAATGGGTCCGGAGAAAAGGTTATTCTCAATGTTCCTGTCCAGAATTGGATGAAAAAGGAGAAAACATTGTTAGCCAAGGTTCCTCCTAGCAGCTTCTAAAATCATTCAAAATTGGTTCTTGAAACGTAAAGAATTATAGTAAGAAAAGTTGATTCTAAAAAACGAAAATGGCATAGTTGAGAAAAGTACAAATCTCTTAGGGGAAGATCTTGTAAAACATCTAGCGTCCCAGACAGCTGATTGACCTGCAAACGTCTGCCAACGGAGACAGTCAGCTTTCTTGTCCATTCAATAAACATTGCCATTCAAAAACGAGAAGAACTCACAGAGTTGTTAGACCAGACAAATTTTCCATTGATGGTGGCAGAGGTCCACTCAAATTGTTACTGGACAAATCCCTGAAAAGAAACAATACACCAGCTTTGAATCGCCTATGAAACGAACTTGGAAATTAACAATAGAATTGAATTCTGGGACCTACAGATTGATCAATCCAGAGAGGGATTGAAAGGCATCTGGTATCCCTCCACTCAGTTGGTTGTTGTTCAATGACCTGATGGCACAAAAGTAGAGAAGTTCAGAATATATTCTGTTTCAAAGTAATATCCACAGCAGAAAAGCAAAAAACTTACATGTCTGTCAACATAGTCAAAGAAGCTAGTGAATCCGGGATGCTGCCAGTGAATTTATTGGCTGAAAGAAAACTGCCCAAATTTAAAGGATGTTATGAAATTGCAACAAGATGAAAATATATGAATTCATGTGAGAATAAAACATACAAGTTTTGCATGGTAACAGGCAAGCTGGATGGAATATTTCCCCCAATCTGGTTGTTGCTTAGATCTCTGAAACACAAAAAAATTACAAAAATCCACAACGCATTCCCAACATGTCATATAGAAATAGTACCGTCTAATGTTTCAAAACATATCAAACTACAGAAACCGATAATATGACATCAAAATGTTGGTCAGCGACAGACAAAGGCACATAAATTGCCTTGTACGAAGAAAGAAAAAACACCACTTACATTGCCTTGATAGAAGCAAACATTCCCAAGCTATCACCCAGTTCTCCACCCAAATTAGCAGCATTTAGAACTCTGCAAAAACGAGGCCATCACTTTAGAGATGTAAATATCAGCAATGCTGCATAACTTTTATTAATCTAAAGAGTCAAAGAAGGGGCATCCTACATGCTAATTATGTCCGAACCGTTACATTCTACGCCTTGCCATGCTTCATCACAAGGATCTCCGGCCGAAGCAACCCATCCAGGGAGTAAGGGAGAGCCCAATGCAGTATATAAGGTATTAATCGCAGCAACTAATTTGAGCAAAAAGAATGCAGGCAATTAGATACATAGCTCCACAAGATAACTACAAAGCATCAAAAGAATCGGAATGAACCGAAAACACAAACACTAAAGCATCAAGAAATGCTCAAACGAAAAGAAAAAAAAAATCCCTTTTAAAGGCTTCAATCCTAGCAGAGAATACAGGAAACAACAAAGGAGAGTTAAAGTTTATGAAAACCAAAACTTGTTCAGCATTTCAGCTATTTGACTTAGTCAAACCAGCTATGACTGTTTCTCCAGCTTCAGACAATTATGTAACCCATGTTCCACATCTTTGATTTTCTTCTAATTTCCCACATTTTCTCAGTAACCAAACAGATAAAACTAAAACAAGAACAAAAAATGCTGCAAGATTAGCTTTACCATCACTAGGATTGGTGAGTCCAAACGAAATCCTGGCCGCGCAGATCAGCAAAATTCCCGAAAAGATCTTCAAATTCTTCCATTCCATACCAGATCTCCAACTACCCATTGATATCTAAACTCAACTCTAAAAAAGACCTCCAATATTCCAAATCTGTCCTTCACACCATTAATCACATAACAAAAAACTTCCAATCTGAAAAAAAGGACAGATAGACAAAGTCGGTGATATAAACACAAAATGGTCTTAATAGAAAAGCTAAACTTGTTTAACAAAAAAATTGAAGAAAGAATCCAAGTCTTATCCACTGCATAAAAGGAACAAAAGCATAAACACAAGAGAATATACTAAACGTATATGTATGAACATCAGAAAAGTTCAAAACTTTCTTTTAAAAATAAGAAAAAAATTGAAGAGAACAAGCAAAGAAGAACTCACTGGAGAAGAAGAAGAGGCGGAAAGTTTGAGAGAAACGTTGAAGGCGAAATTAGTAGTAAATTGAAAAAGAGAAGAGGGAAAGAACTTTCAGTCGCAAAAATTGTTTTATATACTAATGCTGTTTTAAAATGTTAACCAAAAATAAATAAATATTGAAGTGAGAACTTGGGTGCTAAGATTCCAACCTCCATGAATTGGTGAATGAAAAAAGCAGAAACAAACAAGATATATATAAATAATGAAAAAGAAATTGCAGAAAAGGAAAGAGAAAAGTTACTGACCCAAAATGTGGAAAAAGAGACAGCAGAGGTTCTCTCTCTCCATGAATGAATCTCTCTCTTTTCTTGATAGTTTAATTTGTTTTGTTTTTTAAATGAGAAAATGAAGTCTAAACAGAAAGAACGGTGTCATGATGTGCGGGCTACTCATGTTTATCCAACTTCTTCTTTGTCTATCGTTAAAAAGGGATACTGAACACGCGCTTCCAGACACGCGTGATTGGCCGGAAACACGGCTCTAGCTGAGGTGGTTCGAAAAAGAAATTAAACAGATTTTTAGGCAGCCGGTGGGCGTCGTGGTTTTCAGGGTTTACGCATTCTTTCTTCTTCTTTATTATCTGACCCGCCTATCCGAACTGAACATGAATTTTAAAGGGTTGTTTGTTTGACTATGAATGTAATCATTCAACGTTGAATGTTGAATCGTTCAGTATTTAGCGTATTTATTTTTTATCTCTAAATGATTCAGTGTTGAGTGATTCAGCAAAACAACGATAAATGATTCAGCATCAAACTACATTCTGAATGATTCAGAATCATTATCAAATAGTATATCACATTCAGAGTTAATTCATACATAACCTCTGAATCATTCATCATTTGAATCATTTAACGCTTAATCATTCTGAACTAAACAAACATCCTTTAACTCAAGGTTTTATCTGCAAGTGTTATATATATAGGAGCTACAATTTTATGCTAAAAATATAAACTTTATTTTTAAGAAATTATATTAAAAGCGTAAGAATAATGGATGTAAAATCATATTTGAATTATTCCTTTTAATCTTGGTTTCTTTTAATAATTCTGTATAAATAAGTTGGCGCCTAACCCTGCTTAGTATATTGTTATGAAGGTCTGGAACATCCAAAAACAAAAAGAACTCTACGACATATGACAGAAGTCTAGTAATCGACACGTCATGTTTATCATCTTCATGTCAGCAAAACTTCTTTTAAAAAATAAATAAACTGAACTAATATATATATGGAAAAAAAGAATCTACATACATTTGTCTCTATGCCAGTGACACTGTTGATAACGTTATTTTCCAGCCACGTGTCATGAATTCAGCTTACATTATAGTAGGAGATGAACTCAGATTCCTTCCAAGTTCACGAGTTGTTTATTGTTCGAGTTTCAAAATAAGTGAAACAGTTATCGGCCGCATTAACGGAAGTTATACCGTGCGGTGATTTTAATATATAATTAAAAAATGTATTACCGGTTTTATTATTATTTTTTAATAAAATTGATAAAAAATATTTAAAATATTATTATTTTTATCTAAAACATTATTGTTTTTAAATATTTTTTGTAAAGTGTCTAATAATAATAAAATCGGTAGAAAAAATAATGTTTATGTAACGTTTTATCGAATATATTAACAAAACCGATAAAGCGTCTAATAATACAACAACAACAACAACAACAAAATTCTATTTCCATATGAAATGAGGTAAGGGGGAGGTAGGGTAGTAGGCTTGTCAACACACATTTTTCGTCATACTAGGATTCAAACTCCTAAAAATATGATAGAATTTTAGGATTCAAACTCCTAAAAATATGATAGAATTTTAGGATTCAAACTCTTAAAAATAGGATAACATTTTGCTAGGATTCAAACTCCTAAAAATAGGATAGAGTTCTACTAAGATTTAAATTCCTAAAGATAGGATCCACAAGCACTATAAATAGCCATTGTAACCCACCATTGTAGGACACGATTTACGCACAAAACACAGAGAAAAGCACAAAAAATACAAAGGCAAAGCTATTGTAAACGATTCGAAAAGGAAATAAAAGGTAGCATCTTTTTTTTATTTTTTTATTTTTTGCATGTGCACGTTATTTTTCTTGAGATTTGGTTCGAATAACCTAAAACGTGGGTTGCGCCGATGACCAAAAAGGGGTGGGGTTTCGAAGTTTCGAACCTAGATCTACTCCCGAGGCATATTCATTTTTTTAAGTATTTAATATTCCCCCAATTACTTCGAAATTTGACCCCTGATTTTTTTTTGTTTCAATTTAATCCCTTCATGTTTTAATTCATTTTCTTGATTTCGCATTTTTTACCTATTATACTATATTTTATTTGTTATTATTTTCACTAACAATTATATCTATATATTTTTTATATATTATTATTTGTTTCCTCCTCTTCTTTTTTATTCGTATATATATATTATGTACATATAACTACATATATGTATTTTAGTGTTTCATTCTAACATCTATTTACGTATATTACCTTTTATCATTATTATATATATCATATTTATTGCTTCATTTTCTTTATGTGTATTTTATTTATTTATATATATTACCTTTTTTATTTTATATTTATACTATTATTTACTATCATTTTTCTATGCTTTATTTATTTATTTATTATTTTATTTTATTTTATTTTATTTCTTTTTATTTTGGTTGAATTTATTTATTTTTTTATTTCATTTTTTTTATATCTAACATGTTTCTCAACTCTTTAAGGGTACATTTTCAATCGAACATAGGTAAGTTTTGGATCGTTATTTTTACCTTTTAATTTAAAATTACAATTTTCTTAATTAAGACAACTGAAAATTACGTAGTACCGAAAGGGCGGTTCAAGGGTGCTAATCCTTCCTTGACCGTAACCGACTCCCGAGCCTGACATATTTCTGGTAAAACGCAGATCAAGTAAGAAATAGGGTATCCGATCAACCCATTTATTTTAAATAAATGATCGGTGGCGACTCCAATCCATTTACCTAAGTCGAAGCCCAATTCCGGGGACCCAACCGAAAGACGGTTGCGACAGCTTGGCGACTCCGCTGGGGACGCAGGTAAGCGAGTCAGGCTAAGGTAATTTCCAGTTGTCTTTTTAACGAAAATGGTAAGTTTGAATTTTAAGGAAACATTTCGATCCTTATTACTTACTTCTGGTTATATTTTTTTCGAGTAAATAGTTGGACTGACCGTTTTCTAATGATTTCAGCTTTCCAAACTTTTTCATCCAAATGCTCTATACTCGAGCTCCGAACCCTTTTAAGTGGGGGTGAAAGCGACACCTTCGTGTGAATTTATTCACCGTGTGGGCCTAGCAAGTAGCCTTCGGGATACATATACCTTATGCCTTCGTGTGAATTTATTCTCCGTGTGGGCATAAGGGAATGTTTCATCCGAGTTTAACTTAGTCCATACAAGCCTTTGATGGGTTTAGGACTAAGGGTCTGGTAAGCCCAAGGGGGCACCAACAAGGAGAACTCGGGTACCGTTTTTTTAGAACCTAAACCGGGAGATGATGGAGAATTAGAGCCCACCCCAAAACCTCATTCCAAACCTTAGGCTGCTTTGATTTTATTTCCTGCCTTACTTTCTGTTCAAAGCATGCGAACTAGACAAATATGCGATTAGGATTTGTTTGAGATTAGCATGCGGGATAGAGATCATGTCTGGGTATGAATAATAAGCATGTGGGGTAGATATCATGTGGGGTAGGATTTTTCATTTTCATGATCGTTTTTTATTATTTTTCACCTCACTAACTCTTTTCATCTTTCTTTTTTTTCTTTTATTTTCATCACTTGCATCATTTAAAAGATGTATTGATCCACTAAAACGTGTTTGTTAAAACTCGAATAATCTGAATCCATGAACAAAGGTGTTGTAATACAAGAGATGAAAATACAAATGATAGTCTACAAGGCGACTATGTGTCACATTCAATCCAGAAGACGTGGTGCCCACAATTGAAGAGTATATCACTCTGCTGCATTATAAAGGACTCAGAATGAACCGGGTCTACATCAAGCACAATGAAAGCTTATCTTTGAAGAACTGACTGGCAGAGGTTGCAGGGGCAGGATGAAGGTTATGTATCTTGGAAGTACCTTTGAACACGAAAATGGCAAAATGATAGCTGAAATTGGAGACCATTGCTGGCGAATTCAAGAAACATATTAATCAACTTCACATAGTTCCTATCAATTAAGGGCTCCAATGACGAATTCGTTGGGAACAGGCTCAACAAAAGTAGATGCTCGAGATGCGATCATTCGAGACTTCTTGGACCAATACGAAAAATAACTCAATATTTTCACAGTTCATCCAAAGAGGCCGGAGCGGTTCGACAGGTTATTCAACCGGTGAAAGACGAAAGCAGAAGACTAGTCAACATGTCAGAAGCTGTCAGGATATTTTTGTCTCTTAAAAGATAAAACATTTTTGTCCCCAATAAGGATTATTCATAATAACAGGCACATTTCTTGGATCAATGCCTTGAACATTTCATTCATTCTTGCATTTTTTCATCTTCATCTACATTTTTAAGCATTTTCATAAACATGAAATTTCTTCCTAGATGATTCGATGAAGTGGATTTAACCACATGGAAGCAAGATTGTAACCTTAATGAAAAAAACTGAAAACAATACAGTGGGAGCCTGATCAGCTGATTGTAGGACAAAGCATGCCATGAAGATCTAAAGAATCTCCATATCCTAAGGGCTACGATGTTGAAGCTGTTACCGCATAAGAAACCCCAAACATTCCTCTAAAAACTGTAAGGCACTTGTCGAAAGGGGCATGGCATATACCATTTGCACTTAGAGGATTGTTTTGTTTGAACACGTCTTTGATCTTTCATGTTTACTTAATCTTTTAAAGGATTGAATTTATGCTACTTTATAAAGTGGAGCAATTGAACAAATTTTAATCTTTAGTTCTTCGAATATTAAATGAATTAAGGATTCTTTTAATTCTTCAAGAATTATAGATTTTTGACATATGGCAAGATTAGACCTTTCTTACCCTATCTCAAACCCCAAAATAAAATA